CGGGAAGATCCTATACGCCCTTGACCCCTGAGTCGAATGGGGCGGTGTTCGTCACCGGCCACACTCTGACCACTGCTGGATGAAGGCGTCCCCAAATTGTCGCGCCATCCCTCGATGTCCCGCGATCCGAGCCAGCTCCCTGCACACGAGATGATGATCTCATTGCACCATCTGGTTAATTGGGTCGACATGGCACCGTGGTGGCGAGATTTTAACGACATTGCCTGGTGTGCTATGAGGTCGTGGGTTCAACCCCGCCCCTTGGCGCCTGCTGATGGAAATTTGGAGTTTGCGTGTCTCTCTGACCACCACAACCACGTGCCTTTTATTTCGTGGTGTGCGCGGTGCTTTTAGCGCCACAGCGCGTGGATTTGTAGCGTTTATATGCATTTGTTTGCTGGTGACTTTGTGTATTTCATATCGAAATCGCCTCCAGTGCTTTTGCTGCTGGCGGCAATAAAAGTTGTTTAAAAGTCAAGTCTCTCCCCCGTGACCGCGTGGATTTTTCTCCGGGTTCTCCGGTTTTTCCCTCCACATTTAGAATGGACATCACGCGTTTAGGGTATTTGGCTGTTGTACATTTCCACACGATAAGCCGCTTCGTTGAGCGATCGTTTGTGGCCACGTTGCTTCTGAAAAGAGCTACATAGCTCAGAGAGCCTTACCTGGTCAAATAAAACGTAAGTTTATCGTTTAGTAATTGCCCCGTTTAACTGCTAAATGTGCATATAGACTTTTAACTTAGAATACATTACACACGTAGGCAATCAGTGCGGAATATTACTCACATGTACACACACCGTACACATATCGTACTTTTGTTAATCGTCTGTTTGGTGAGGGTAGGTCCTCGGGGTTTGTTTGACCATACTTCACCACACCTGATCTGTATAGGCTGGTGAGGGCTTGAGGGTATAGACGTGGCATAGAAGCATTTTGCTGAGCTGTCTTCTGCTAATAACGTAGCCCCACAGAAGCCGACAGCACCTAGTATGCATGGTGGTCGCTCAGGCTCAAACCTGCTTAGCTTCTGAGATCCCATGAGACCAGGCGCATGCTGGTGATTTAAACATCGATACCTTGATGAAGACATGTCTATATATACAATCCTCTGTACATAAGTTGCATTAAGAACATGAATAGAGCATTGTTGTATGCGGTTCATCATTACGCACACACATTTCACGTATAAAAGTATTTAAGTTACAGTACATGAGGTATAATTCATATTAACACACATTACGATACTATATAGTCCTTGACTGGACAGGAATTCAATAGCGTGCAGTAAATGCGTAGATAGATATGATCAAAGAACAAAAATATCAAGATACTTACAACACTATGGGGCCGTCCATAAATGACGTCACGCGATTTTGGACGATTTTTGACCCCCCCCCCCCTTCGTCACACGGCGTCACAAAAAGTCAGACCCTCCCTCAAATATGACGTCACAAAGCTCTACCCCCCCTCCAAATACCAAAATATAAAACATTGTCGTGCGTATTTAATGTGGCGCTGCACTCTGATGTTGTAGGAGAAAACATTTATTAAAAAGTATAATTAATTAAGTAGAACGTGTTGTCTATAATTATTTAAAGTTGCGCATTTTGATCTGACGTCACATTCTCAAACCCCGCACCCCCCTCGTCACACATCGGCACAAATGTCTGACCCCCCCCCCCCCCAGGTGCGTGACGTCATTTATGGACGGCCCTTTTCCTGTGTAGTTTTTGTTCACAAATTGCAATGTGCTCTTGTTGCTATACCTTTTTAAGCCCTTGAAAGAGAGATATCTTGTATCAGTGGGATCATAGTCGGTTGTAAACTGAATTGTGTGAAATTAGTGGATTTTCAAATAATTCATTCTTATTTGGTCATATTAACAAATCCGTACAACTAAAACTTTGCTATCTAAGGTGGTAACCAATGTCTGAACCGGCCCTGGGCATCCCCTAGATCGACTCAGCCTTAAATAAGCACCTGGTGTGGCGTGAAAACATCAGCACTGGGGAGACAAAGGCGGCCGGGTGTGGCACTGACCACCCACTACCCTGGTGTGCAGTAGCAGTCATATAAGTGCTCGCAAACAGCACTTAACAGAACAGTTTGTCAAAAGGCAATATGTTTGTTGTTGTAACTTTTTGACCGCCCCTCCTGGACATCTGTGAAAAAGAGCTTCACGGCTCATCGGATTTCTCCAGTGTGCATAAAGATTTTTATTCTGATATGGGGGATATTCGTCTTTGTGTGTTTCCCCATTATCGCCAGGCATGCGCATCATATAACAACTTATTTTGGTGATCACGAAAGGACGTCCTATCTTTGGGAAAACATCTTTTATTTACGCCTACGAGTTATACCACAAGCCTTCTACAATTGCCTTGGCTCAGATTTTACAACATAAACATGACCGCAGCCATGTGCCTGGACAATGTCAAATGTGCCGTTTGATGATTTTCAGAAGGCATTCAGCCTCAGAACACAATCCGCACCCAGAGACTATGGGTGCCAAAAGTGGGTTGACAGAACATTGAAGGGACAAATAAATAAATGGATGCATCTTCACGTTCAATCCACTGCTGGATGAGAGCCTCCTTACGTCACGCTGGTCAGTGTCCATGAAAGCGAGGTGCACAAACGTGGGGGAGGGGGGTATAAGTGTATCCAGAGAAAATGGTGGGAATTCCACATTCCCATGGCGTGAATCAGTTATATCAATGATGCAATGTAAACACGCGATTTCCAAACCGTGTCAGTTATAGTACAGACTGGATAAATAAAAAAAAACATATTACGACTCCCAAACTGTATTTATACTCAGTGCACTTTATATTTGAAAGGGAGTCCGCACGAGGCAACCTTCGACGAAGGGCTTCTATTCAAAGATCCCCACTAGAACACACACGCACACACGTGGGAAGACGTCTCTCCAACAGCCTCATCCTCCTCGCCAATCCTGTCCCTCGCTCCCTCTCCTCCCCTAACAGCCCTCTCTCCCTCATCCGTTCTTCACGCTCCTTTCCGAATCCCATTTAGCCAGCCCCATGCTTCTACCACTCTCGCCTGTCCTATGGCTTGGCGCCGTTCTTTATTGAGTGGCCGTGTATGTGTAGAGGAGTAAAATGTGGACGTGACGTCAGGTGTGCCGTTCATATGTATGTCAAACTTCGTTCGCACCGTACGTAGCCAACCGTGCGAATCGGAAGTGCTGGCTATCAGGGACAATTACACATTTCGTGTTAATGAGCCACGAGATGTGTTCCTGATTGATTGATTTTGGGGATAGGTGGAGGCTGTGACCAGATTGCCTGGAATGCGGCTCGTCTTGTCACATCTCGGAGGCTCAAGCAGATTTTAGCCTGGGGTAGTGATTGGGATGGGTGACCAACATCAAGGTCGTTGTAGGTTATTGTAGGCTGGTGTGAGGCTACGCGCTGGTTAGCCGAGTATTGTTGCAATAAAATAAATTGTACTGGATGTTCTTCCACGTCTGTGTTTCTCGCAATCACCAAACCGCACTGACCACCGCGGTGAAGTATGGTCAACTAACTCCCACGGTGTGTGATCTAGCAGTGGATTGACATAAGGGGTTGTTTATGTACAAAATGTAATAACGTATCCACAATGTGTCGTAATAATGATGTCGCATCAATTCCATTGTTGTCTGACTTACATAACCAGTTTGGTGGCGTTACAAATCTTGCGGGACAAATTTATAAATAAAAAACAAGATTTCAAAACCCATTTTCGAGGTTTATTATTTGAAGCTTTGCATCCAATCAGTCCGGTTAACAAACACGTGATTGTTAACCATCATTATTTCCAGATGGCCAGAGAAGAAGAAAACAAATCCGCAGTTTGATTTATTAAAAAAAACATATCTAAAGTTCGCCTCTTCAAAACACAACTCCCACTTTGAATGTAAACTTTGTCGAGCTTGTTAAAGTGTTTATTTTTTAAGTTTAATAAAAATGCAGAACGGAACCTTCTCGACTTGTCAGACACATTCCTCTGCTCTGACACGTACCTCCCCGCCCTTGCGGGCCACGTGCTTTAAATGCGAGGAGGCAGCGTGCAACCGATTCGTCGATCCAATATTAAGACGGGCATCGATGTATTGTTGCCACTGGCGATTCGATTAATTAATCGAACGTGGTAAACAAGCAAACAATTAGTACAAAAGGAGTCTACAAATACGAACACAAGTTTCGACTTGAGCTCGTGTGCTCCGAGGAGTTGTAATTAAAATTAACCCGTAAAAGCAAAGTTTTTCACTATAAATCCTTTATATGCGTGGCGGCTAGAGTCCTCTCGTCCTCTGGCTAGAGATGGCTGCCACCTATGGGTCAGATGATTGTCTGGCAGCATTAAGCAATTGGTAATTAAATATTTTTTTTAAAAATTCCCTAAACAGTGTAAAATTTTGGAAACATTTTTTCACGAAAATTAATTGTCACGCACAACGAGTCTGTGTGCAAAATGTCAGCTCGATTGGATCACGGGAAGTGGGTAAAAAAACGACCGAAAGATTTGCACGGTCGTAAGCAAGCACGCAAGCAAGCAAGCGAACTTAATATAAAGGATTAAAAAGGAATCGTCGAATCACGACACTGTTACAATCTCTTAAAACTACTATTGTGCGTTATCTGACAAAAGTACAAACCATACGAGCCCAAAAAAAAACCACAGCAGGATACAAAAAACAACAATCGTGGTATTTAATCGAATCGCAACCGGAATCCGTGGCGTTTAACGAGCAGTGGCACGGCTCAATTACAGCTGATCGAAGGCGACGATACAAATCAGACAGTACCAGCGAAACCGGTTAACAACTTTGGTCGGCACAAACAAACAAAAAAAATCGTCAATTAATTCATCGAATGTGCGGGGGAGGGGTGGGAGGGGAGAGGCGCGGGGGAGGGGTGAGAGGGGAGGGGCGTGGTGACTCAACCTCCCCCGACCACGTGCGAGAGGCCACGTGGCCGTGACTCGTGGCTGTTGGGGCTTTAAATAGGAGGGGCACAACAGCCTCAAGTCGTTCAAACACATTTTGTTTCCGCCCTTTCGTAGTTGTTGCTGGCGCTGCTCTCATCTCGCTCCAGTCGTTGAGTGTCGTCTTGCTTCTGCGGGCAGCAAACTCTGCGGTAAACGCCGTCGTCAGTTTCACTCGACGTGTTTGTGTGTTTTGGGGGGGTGAGGACGATGTCGATTGCCGCTTTAGTGGAAGTTTATCTCTGTTTCGTTTCGTGCTGTTGCTGTTCCATGGGTCATGGTGGTGAAGTTGTCCTTCCGTGTCTCGCCAACGCCAAACCTTGCCCCAGCAGGGCCTGGACGTGGTGTGTGTGGAGTGGGGGGGAGATGTTTGTGGCTAAGGGTTGTGTTGGGGAACTTCTTGATTTTAGTTTTTAAATACGTGGTAATAGTTTGATTTGGAGTAGGGGGGGGGGGTGTGCATTGTGGTGTGGAGTTTGCACTAACTGTTTAGATGTTTTTTTTCTAAAGTGTCTCGCCAGAGTACTAACAGAGTTTGTCTAGTTTACGCCGGATTTGCCGTGTGGTTTCATTACAACGGTCTAGTTGGTGTGTGTATGTACCCTAATAAGTACATGTGTTACAAACACAAGTGTGTCGTGACGTTGGCGTACTGGATCTTTGTGGAAGTTTCTTACTTGAAACTCTGCCAACACTGAGATTTACAGTGCGGAACACGATGTCCGTCCCTTAGATAACTTGTGTTAAAGTCATTATCACTAATTTCTTAGTTTGCGTTTTTTATATTAACCCTGTTTTATACGCTGTGTAACAAAGGGGAGCTGGGGACTGCTTGGCAAGTCAATTCGATGGTGAAACAAACGTTCCAGATTGCCTAACACTGGATGTTATAACGTTATACTTAGTTTGTGGTGTTTGTAACGCGTGTGAAACTACAATGTTGTCTGTGGCGTGATCGAAACCTTGTAAGAATGTGATCAGGGTTGAGGGGCAGTGGCTCCATCATGAGGGTTTTCTGGTTTGCTCTGTCCAGTACAGCGATTTGATCAACTTTTGCTATTTTATTGTCCATTGACGCCACCTTTGTATTATTTAGGGTCGGCGTTACTAATCCCTTCCCAAATGAAGTGTAGCTTTTTAATTTCAAAGTGTCTGCAAGAGGGTTGTACATTTTTACAGTAAGAATATAAATTTGCACAACAGTACAGTATTGTACAATTACCCAGTACTACGTTGTTAATGTGGGGCTCCACTGTTGGATAAAGGCCCCTTTATCCCGCACGCGTTATGTGTCCATGCGGGTGTTGTTTGACCATGTTTCATCATTCCTGGTGGTTGCCAGTTGGCGAATCGACAAGTACAAATATCTGGTCGAAATGTTTTTTTAAACATCTAGGATGATTTAGTTTGTTTTGTGGGTTTTTTTAATGCGACTGACTTTTTCACTTTTTCAGACTAAGACATGGCTGACGTTGCTGAAATTGCTGCTGATGCTGGTGTTGAACAGCCGGTAAGGAACATTTCAAGCTCGGCAGAAGGCGCTTATCCCAGTGGCTTTTGATGGTCGTGAGAGGGTCCCAACCAGCGGTGGCTTGGCAAGGGCTGCCTGAATGTGTACGGATTAGACCGCTTGAATATCCGTGTGATTTGCTTGTTTTGGGACTCCAATAGCGAACGAATCGCTACCCCCACAGCATACACGCTTGTACAGATTGTTAATAACACTGGAAGCACAAATTGTTTAAAATCTGATACACCCCATGTATGTAGACTCTTAATATGATGTTTGACAAATGGATGTAAATGTAATGGAAATTCTCATGCTAATGGGGTAAATGAACTTGTACAATTAAGAAACTATAATCTTAATTGAAATGCTTTGGGCATGAATTGCACCCTTTTGCTGTACATCCCATTGCTGTCGTATGAATGTCGAAGTTGCAGCTCTCTTTTAACATTCGCCTCCTGCAAGCCATTGAAGCCTTAAAATGGATGCCGTTAGTTTCCATATTCTATAGTTGGAGGGAGGGGGGTCATTGGCATATCGCCACTTGTTTCGCAATCCGAATGATGCAAGTTCAAATCTCGGGCAGGAATCCCTAAAACAAGTACCACATTGTGGAGTGAACAGTCGTGCTGTGGATATTACACCCACATTTCTGGGGGGAGGGGGGGGGATTGAATTCCTTACCACCTGGCTCGGGGCTGCCTCTAACGTCCCACCTGAGCAGGGAGATGCAGAATGGTAACATTTGCCAAAGTTAAAAGTTTCGATTTAAAGCTTTCGTGACTGCAGGGATTCATCTTCTTGGTTCTTTCGGTAAAGTCACGTAGAAGGGAAGTAATAAAATAATAAAAATAAAACATAATAAAATAAAATAATTCTCACGACGTTTCGGCTACAACGCAAGCAGCCGTCTTCAGGTGAAGAAGACGGCTGCTTGCGTTGTAGCCGAAACGTCGTGAGAATTATTTTATTATGTTTTGTTTTTATTTTATTACTTCCCTTCTACGTGACTTTACCGAAAGAACCAAGAAGAAGAAAAAGTTAAAAGTATTAATGTGCGTTATTGCTTGAAAACCTTACAGGTTGGAGTGGTGCGCTGACATTGCTGAGAATGGGTTCAAATTATGGCAGCCGCCTACGATTTAAAACTGGGTCCAAAATTGTCAGCTTGTTTATGAGTTTAAGGACGGGAGTTTCCCTCCCTGCTTTGTGGACCAAAGGTCAATTTAAGTCCTCTAGTGGCGAACATCTGCATCCCCATGGGCTGTTCTTTGACGTGAAGGGTTGCATTGCTCAAAGCTCATTATAGATTTGTAATATAATGAAATTATGATGTTTGTGCGTTGGGGGTAGAGTTTGGCTGAAAATAATTTGAAGGAGTTTTCACATTTTGTAGCATTGTGACATGCATTTTAATTGCAAGACTAACCGTTGAAAAACTTCTACACCCAGGCTGCACAGGAGAGCATCATGTCACGCGTGGCAAACCTGCCCCTGCTGAGCTCTGCGTACGAAATGATGGCATCTGCCTACAGCAGCACCAAGGAGAACCACCCGTACGTGAAGTCGGTGTGCGAGGTGGCAGAGCAGGGCGTGCGCACGGTCGCTGGTGTCGCCGCCACCACTGTCAAGCCCCTGGTGGACAAGCTGGAGCCTCAGAGTGAGTGGCCACGCAGCACCAATGCCTGCCATTCGCCACTAAGGGATGGTGACCTCACTACAGCGCCTGTGGCAGGCCAGGTACACGGAGGCCATGAAGTGCCAAGACTAGCTGACAGGTGGCCACCGGGAACAGACTCGCGTGCTAATGGTTGACTGGTTGATGACTAAAAGATGCACCAACTGTGTACCCCCTCTGCCACATGAGCCCTTGTGCAAGACAGTGCCTCTGCCCCCATTTGCAGGACCCTTTTTAAATCCTTTATATTAAGTTCGCTTGCTTGCGTGCTTACGACCGTGCAAATCTTTCGGTCGTTTTTTAACCCACTTCCCGTGATCCAATCGAGCTGACATTTTGCACAGACTTGTTGTGCGTGACATTTATTTTCGTGAAAAAATTTTTCCAAAATGTTTTATATTTAATTACCAATTGCTTAATGGTGGCAGGCAATCATCTGACCATAGGTGGCAGCTATCTCAAGCCAGAGGACGAGAGGACTCTAGCCGCCACGCATATAAAGGATTTATAATGATAAACTTTGTTTTTACGGGTTAATTTTTAGTGCTTGTACTGTGCTTTACATACGGGGGGGGGGGGGGGGACCTTGTCACAATGGCCAACACTTCCACATGTTTGGCTGGTTGCACATTAGTTGACGAAACGTTTATCATGCTAGAACTGCATTGACTGCTCGGAATTGTTTTGCAGAGTAGTAGGTGACAGGTGCTAAAATTAGACATGGGGGTGAAAATTTTCCCCTCTGGCAATCGGTGCAGCTCGGATGCTTGCGGGATTGGATTGCCATTTGGAAGTCGGTAGACCTTGTGGGCAGAGGCCAAGTTCCCCCCCACCCTTTCTCTCGAAGGTTAAAAGTTAAATTTTAGTTTCGGTGACAACTGCATCCCATTAGCTGCCAGGGGAGGGGGAAAAACATCTTGGAACTTGGCTCAAACGCTAGTTTGGAGTGGTACGGTAGGAAAGGGAATGGATGCAATGGACCGAGTTTGTGCCATGGACTTGCTCTTTGGCAGACGAATTAAGAAATGGGACGTTGCAAGTGGTTGTCTGGTGGGGTGGCTGCTTAGTAATGATACAATGGAATTTTCAAAGGGTCGGTCTTCCTTAAGATTGGTGCTGAAAATACATTCTAGACTTTGACATGGCTGAAGAAAATCTCATTCAAGTAGTTCAGTGGTCCCATGCCAATGATCCTTGTACCATAGAACGTTTATACATTGGATTATTGTGTAACCATTTCGTTATCGTCATTGACATGCCTTTTTTTATAAACCGTTCCAACGTGGTATTCACTAATTCTTGTACCATGAACTTTTATGCTATGCATGGTGAAGTATAATGAGAACCATAATTGTCTCAACTGGCTGGCGTGATCTTGGCACAGTTAATTAAATTCTCATGGTTTGACTGTAAAGTGATTGGAGGAAATTTAATCTGGTTAGTACCAGGGAACTGACAGATGTGTTGGAACTGTTACATTTTGCAGGATCTGATTACATGGCTTTGTCCTTTACCCTAGATTTTTTTTACTACTATTGCAGGCTCTATTTCATCACGATGGTGTATCTCGAGGTTGCTAATCCTGTGTAAATTGCATGGTGTTACACAACCTTGCACTATAGCCCCATCAAAAGTCAAACGGTCCAAAGTTTACACATTGAAGCTTTTGACCGTTTATGAAATGGCAACCTGGGCCTGTCGTAATTGCGGATTGCGCAAGGTAGTTTTATTGGCCTCCATGTGCAAATGAGACCTGGTATAATGGTTAAAAAAATTGCTTGCATACCTGTTATTGATATACGTGTGGTTTATATTTTTTATCAGATGGTATTCAGTAATTGGGTGAACAAAACATTGCTTTACACATGGCAATTGGTGTGCATTTATCTCCAGTTTCCACCGCAAACCAGTACGCATGCCTGGGGCTCGACAAGCTGGAGCAGAAGCTGCCCATTCTGCAGCAGCCTACAGAACAGGTGCGGTCCATTGAATTGGCCAACACTATTAAAGGCGATGAGCATTTGTTGCCATGTGTGGTTTGCTTCACAGTTTAAGACGAGTGTGGTTAAATGTGGTGTGTTTGCACAATTTAACACGTAGGCTTTCGCGACCAATATTATTCATAATATAGGTTTTTGGATCGGATCGCGTTATTTATAAATGTGTCGTAACCCTCCACCACCCAACATGGCCAAACAGTAAAAAATGTGTCACTTTTTCAAAGGACAAAATAATTCACTTTAGCCCACCGGTGTGCTGAAGAGAATCGACAGCATTTTTAAATTTGAGTACGACGTTTAGCTGATAATTACAATCAGCTTCATCGGGCAAGAATGGTGAAGCTCTCCTGTTGCTTCCAGGCTGCACTAAACCGGTAGCTGTCAGAGTGATTGAAGTTATTTCTATTTCTCTCAATTTCAATGGATTCTCCAATTAGTCATGGCCAGCACACCGGTGGGCTAAAGAAGTGAATTATTTTGTCCTTTGAAAAAGTGACACTTTTTATTACTGTTTGGCCGTGTCGGGTGGTGGAGGGTTGCAACACATTTATAAATAATGTGATCTGATCCAAAAACCTATGATTTCACAAGTTTATTTGGAACTCTTTTTTTATAAAATGCCCCATTTTACATCCCAAGAGCTTTTCTTTGAGTGCTGATGGGCACTGACCTTATTTCCGAACCCACAACTGTTAATGGTTGATTTTTTTTAAGTCAAATATGGGTCTCCATGCTCGCTCAAGGCGGCACTGACCTCTTGCAAATCCTAGGGCTATGATGGAAATTGACTTCCATAGCTAGGGCCAATATTGACATAAGAGTGTCTGTTTTTAACTGTCTACAGTGTACACAACTTAATAAAAACTAACCAACTGCCTCGCACGGCATTTCGAAATAAGACCATTGCTGTAGTGGTTATGACCCCTGCTGGCTGCTACTGGAAAGGCACTTGGTGTTGATTCCAAAACGCTGGATATTTGAATCTCCCTGCATTTGATCAATTCTGGAAGAATGATTGCTGGGCGTTTCTATTATTTTGTCTATAAACTGTCTAAGATTGCTCTATGCAAAATATACCTGAAATAGTATTGACTTCTGAAACTTTTTTTTTACTTGCTGGACCCACAGGCATTTCCAATCGCGTTTGATCATGTTTGCCTGACCTATAGCAATTTCTTGCACTAGAACAATTGTGGTAGAATGCAACGGCAAAGAAACAATGTCATGTTGTATTCCATTGCTGGAGCAGTTCCCTTAACCTGGAAGCCAACCAAGAGACAACACTAACATGGATACATTGAAAGTAGGGGGGTGCGGATGCAATAAAGCCAGCTGCAGAAAAGAACACTCATCACAGCTGATGGCAGCATTACCAAAGTGTTTTTGAGTCTCCTGCAGGGTTTCTTTTGAGTAGTTCAATATTTAAAGCGGCAGCAATTGGTGCTTGAAGTAAGAATAAATTATACCCCAAATTCCTCGGCACTTATGTGTATAAACAATATCTTCTAACGATGCAGGTGGCTTCCAGTGCTCGTGGAATGGTTGGTGCCACCATGGGCACAGTGACGAGCAGTGTCACCGGCGTTGTGGACAAGACCAAGGGCGTGGTGACCAGCGGTGTTGAAATGACCAAGGGGGTCGTGTCGGGAGGGGTGGAGATGACAAAGGGGGTAGTGAATGGCAGCGTGGAGATGACCAAGAGCGTGGTGTCGGGTGGGGTGGAGATGACCAAGGGCGTGATGTCGGGTGGGGTGGAGATGACCAAGGGCGTGGTGTCAGGAGGGGTGAGCACGGTGATGAACAGCCGCGTGGGGCAGCTGGTGACGGCCGGCGTGGACTCGGCAATCGGCAAGACTGACGAGTACGTTGATTACTACCTGCCGCCCTCCGAGTTGGACGGAGCACAGCCCGAGCAGTCTGGTGGGTACAAATGTGGCTACTTGGTTTTGTTCTGCCAGTGACTTGAATGCTGGTGTGATGGTTATGCCTTTTTTTCTAAAGTGGTATGAATGGGTATGATATTAAGAAAAGTCTGGTAATTATACCCTCCCACCAAGTGGCTACCCAAGCTATTGGTCTTTGAGGTTGTTTGACCATCGTTTGGTTGGTTTGGGTTTATGAAGGTGGGTGACTTGGGACCAGTTCAGATGTTTTAAATGGCTATGAATGAAACTTGTCTCCATGGTCTCATGATGGTGTGCTAACTGACGAGCCAATTAACGATGCAGGCCAATTAAGCCTTAACAACATTTGGATGCGGCTAGTACTAAAATGCGTATAAACTTTGCCAAATATGGATTTCCAAACTCCATTTTTCATGCTGTCCAATCTTGTGCACATGGGTTTCTTACCTATAGTAACTGGCATGATGGTCATTACAACCTGGGAATGTGTAGGAAGCTTTGGAGAATAATTTTGTAAAACGTGACCTGTTGCGTGCCCATTCTACTGTTTTGCCAGCATTACGATTCTTGCATTAGTCGAATGATGGCCTTTCAGGTGTGCACCCATTCTTAGACCTGTCTTATGTTCCCATGTTGCAGGGGAAGCTGTGGTTGCAGTGCCAGAGGGGCAGCTTGTGGCTGGGCAGGAGCCCCAGAGCTACTATGTGCAGTTGAGTTGCTTGTCCACCAAAGTGCGGCAGCGCCTGTACGAGCAGTCTGTGACCCGCCTGCGCAATGCCAAGCTGCGAAGCCAAGATGCCATATCGCAGCTGCAGCACACTGTGAACCTGGTACGGTCACGTCCGCTTATTCCATCGATGCAGCACAACTTCATATCCTGTTTTGAAGTTGTATATTACATAATTTGGTATAGCAATACACTCTGCTCCTGTACCCAATGCCTCTCTTCTGTGCCGTTTTGCAGATTGAATATGCCAAGACCCATTTAGACTCCTCAAGCCAACTGGTGCAAGAAAAACTTCAGAGCTCCTGGCAGCAGTGGAAGAAGACCCAGCCAGCTGGAGAGGCAGATGGGGCAGGTGCAGAAGAGCCTCAGGTAACCATGTTAATACGAGCTTGTTTACCCCTCCAAGGACTGCTGTATATTGCAATAAATCATAAATATTCACTAGATAAATTGTTCAGCTCATGATTATTAAGGGGGGAGGGTTGCCCCATGTGGTGTGACATTACCCAGTAATGGTTATTGGGGAGGGGTGTGGCATGTGGAGTGACGTCATGCACAGGATACTCATTCTTGGCTTGTTAGTAATGATGCATTTGTAATTATGTTGAACGTTCATTTTCGAGCCACATCTTAATGCAGGGCTATAAAACCCACCTTTCCCCATGCACCTGTCCCCATTCTAATGCTAATAAAGCTGTTAAACGTCTTCATTGCTGAAAATGGGCAACCCTGCCCGAATATTGTCCTATACTGCTCTTCTCTTTGTAGATTCTGTCATTTGTCTAGTGCCAACTCATTTCTCCCTGGTGAGATTCTTTTACCATAACTTACACTGATTTCCTTACTTTCTGCAGTCTGACGAGTCCCGGACGCTGGCGATGGCTCGCGCCCTGAGCCAGCAGGTGCACGCGTCGTGCGTGTCTCTCGCCTCCAACGTCCGTGGCCTGCCACAGAATGTGCAGGACCAAGCGCAGCGCGTCCGCCAAAATGCAGAGGCCCTCGTTGCTGCCTTCCGCAATACCACCTCTTTCAAGGTACTTGTATTGAACTTCTTGCCCATTTTAAGTTGTCTTGGATAGAATGCATGGCTGGATAATTAATGGCTATGGTGGCTTCTGGACAAAGGCCAGTTGGTCTTAACGTCTTTCCTTTTTGACAGAAATATTTAGTTTTGATCTCAATCACGTTTACCACAACTTGGCAACTAACTTTGCACTTTCACAGGATATCCCAGAGCAACTGTTGACCCACAGCAAGGAGCAGATGGCCCAGGTCAGCAGCTCTCTGGATGGAGTGCTTGAATATGTGGCTGGAAACGTCCCCGGGGGCTGGATGGTGGGGCCCCTGCGTCGCGTGGAAGGGATCTCCACGAAACCAGCTGGGGAGACTGGAGGCACAGCTGATGTGGTGGAGGCAGTAGATGCACCTGTTGAAGAAGATGCACCTGTTGAAGAAGATAAAATCCCAAAATGATTGATTTTTGGTGAATGCATACTGACAACTGTGTTTTTGCTCTTTACTCCGATTGCTTTTGGAAAATGGTGTGATATTGAAATGGTTTCCAAATGTGTGATATTTTCAAATAAAACTCTTCAGCAGGATATGTTGAAATACTTTGATACTTTTTGTACGTGCTCCTGAGACTTGTGTAAGGTCATTATAAATGAAGAGGGAAACCTGTCGTTTATCCGCTGCTTGATAAAGTTCTCATACTGCCAACGACTGCAGGAATACAATGACCCATATTTTGACAAAGCTCGTCTCCTGCAGTGGTGTATCTAGTCCAATTCATTGGCCATCTTTGAGTTGCCTATCCTGCCTATTTGTCAAATGTAGCACTTGGCTACACGATGTGAAAAACGTTCATGTGCTCCCCTTGACGTCCTGAGGTCATTCCAAACGCCTGTGTCATCAGTTTGTGGATGGTGGCACCTTTTAAGCAGTTGCAGAGAACAGCCGATTACATGACTGCATACATTAAATTCGCACCAAGGATCGAATTTAATGCCTTGACTGATTGCTGCTTTGTTTCAACAGGCATACAATGTTTGAACTCTACACCATTTTCATTCTGCTATTCTCTTAGTCACTGCAAGAGGTTATTCAATTTTAGACGGTAACCTGACCTTGGGTAGATCTACATTGGTTGTCTGGTCCAGAAATTATGCATAATACAAATGCAGTGGTTTAATCCAGTTCCTAATCACTAAAGTGCCTGAAACTTTACCATTTTGACGAGACTGTTACACGTTCAGCCTGGAAAATGCACTTAAACCTTTTGCAGTAATGTTCCGTCAATGTTGTGCAATTAGCATTATATATACTGACACGTGTGCATACTCTTGCATAAGAATAAAGCATTTCCTGCATCTGCTCCTGTCTGTGCTACTTGTTTTTGTACCGTTTGGAACGTAAAGTCGACCCTTGCTAATGCAAGTCCACGGTGATGGATGTTAATTGCCTCCTAATATACAGGTCATGGGTTCGATCCCGATGCCTGTATTTGGCGTTCGCATGTTTTCACCTGTGACCGTGTGGATATTTCTACACTTTTTTTTTCATTTTATAAACTTGAGCATTCCTGCGGAGGGTGGGGGGGGGTGGGAGGGTTGGGGCTGGGTGGGGAGGGTCTGGTCACCCTGTGGTGCCCTTATAAAACTCAACGTTTAACCTACTCACGCCAGCTTGTGCCCGTCCTCACAGTCGGCCATATTTGCGGAATACACCACGCCGCCGTTGACCCTGGCCATTGACCGAGCAACCCAACGTTCCTACCAGCTCCCTCCTTAGGAATGTGTTATACTGGTAGGACCCTCCTGGTTACACCAGCCCACAGGGGAATATCGTGTCCGTCCGTCGTGCAGGAAGGGGCTGGGTAAGGAGGGAGGGGCTGCGTGGGGAGGGGAGGGGCTGGGTGGGGAGGGTGGAGAGAGGCTGGGTGGGGAGGGGCTGGGTGGGGACGGTGGGAGGGGCAGGGTGGGGGGTGGGAGGGGTGGGGCTGGGTGGGGTGGGGCTGGTCACCCCGTGGTGCCCTTATAAAACTCAACGTTTAACCTACTCACGCCGACTTGTGCCCGCCCTCACAGTCGGTCATATTTGCGGAATACACCACGCCGCCGTTGACCCTGGCCATTGACCGAGCAACCCAGCGTTCCTACCAGCTCCCTCCTTAGGAATGTGTTATACTGGTAGGACCCTCCTGGTTACACCAGCCCACAGGGGAATATCGTGTCCGTCCGTCGTGCAGGAAGGGGCTGGGTAGGGAGGGAGGGGCTGCGTGGGGAGGGGAGGGGCTGGGTGGGGAGGGTGGAGAGAGGCTGGGTGGGGAGGGGCTGGGTGGGGACGGTGGGAGGGGCTGGGTGGGGGGTGGGAGGGGTGGGGCTGGGTGGGGTGGGGCTGGTCACCCCGTGGTGCCCTTATAAAACTCAACGTTTAACCTACTCACGCCGACTTGTGCCCGCCCTCACAGTCGGTCATATTTGCGGAATACACCACGCCGCCGTTGACCCTGGCCATTAACCGAGCAACCCAGCGTTCCTACCAGCTCCCTCCGCAGGAATGTGTTATATATGAACCTGAGTGAAATTGCTGGAGCTGAATCCAGAGCAGTGGTTTCACACAAGGGTTGTACATAACTATTACCAAGAGATATTTGTAATCAACACCAGCCCTACGCAGCAAATTGAAATTATTATCCCGTGGCTCTATTCCTCGTCTCATTTCAGACTTAACTTCACTTTATGGATAATTTACGATACTCTAAAACGAAATTGCCTTGGACGATTACGTGAGTAAAAGCTCCATTATAAAGTTATATAATCGCACTTGTAGAAACGCAGGCAGATTAAACTGCAGACCTATGCCACGACACGTCAGCAACACGATGTTGCATGACAAGTCACTACAGGTCATGCAAGCTGTCGTCATTATCATCTGATGGTTCAATGTCCTATATCCAAGGTCCGTGTATGGGGAACCACCTAAATCTGTCCTATCTTTACTGGATAATGTGCCTCTTCCATTTGAAATATTCATGTTTGTCTTACACACTGCTGTGCTTGTATTTATTCACATGGCATGTTTTTTTTGTCTTTCACAATTTTACTATAATCGTGCGATCGGAATCATGTCATAAGATGACTAATATGTTAGGAACTCTCGCAGTGCAGTGCAAACATCGTGTGTTTCGAGAATGGTCCGCGGAAGTTAATATCACAGAACTTCTTCTGAGATACAGTACCTCCAACTGAAAATGTTTGTCCACATACTAAAGAATGGTGCACTTTCCAATATACCCTACGACAGAAAAAGAATCACATGGCGGTCAAATTCATGCTTTTCATGAACATATCTCGAATTTTGCCAAATAAAGTGTAAACCAAACTTCATGTTATTTTGTGCAATCAATCGAGGCCTGGCTTAGAGCATTAACTACTTGGGAACCCTGCTTATTGGCATCTGATGCCTCCATACGGATCTCAGCAGTACCAGCTCAGTACTCTAACCCCCAGCCATCCGACCACATCAATATTACATTCAGCTTATTGCGCCATGAACCCGGCCACCCGAGATCGATTCCCAGCAATGCCTAAAAGCATTGATGAGTGATATCTGAACTGGTTTTGGGCCCACTGCTCTTCACAAACCAGTGCTTACCAGTGTGGTGAAGTATGTTCACATAACCTCCACGACTGACATGGCATGGGGAGGCGCTCATTCAGCAGTGGATTGACATGTTTATACCACATCACCAGAATATGACCTGTGACTCACACGCACACCACTATTTTGCCTGGCTCAGGCACAGTGCTAAATATACATGCACAACCTGGCCCAGTCACCCCGTGGGTGTCAGGTAGGAGGAGCCTTACTCCTCCCTCCTGCCCAGCCACTCAGCAGAGTCAACCTTGAGAACACCAGAGACCCTAGGGTTAGGGTGATGAATTTTTTCGCTTACTGAAAGGCCTAACTGGACTTTCAAATAGCTTTGGCGGGCAACCACATATTAACACACACCTTCATCACGTCTCTTAGTGATAAAATTGATGGAGTGCACTAAAATTAGTGTTGTAAGGTCATTAGTGTGGCTATATTACGCTTGTAGTTACAGATAACTATTGTGCATGCGCCGTTTTGAAGTGGTAGCTTCAATGTCACTCCAGGCCGTATGAAATGAAGCCGCTGGACACATGGAATGAAGTCGCAGATCACATTGGGCCTGCGGGCCATAGGTTCCCTACCCATTCTAAAGGGCAATGGGGTGCTGTTAGCAAGCCCCTATTAAGGTTGGCACAATACTTATATCCATGAGTTGCATGGCCCTGGTACATACACTCGTTATCCCCCTTTCAGAAATGTGTGTTATGGACAGAACCATGCCCAGTCGTCCTTTGTCTGCCTAGTGCTGATGTTCCCACTGCAACAGGTACTCATTTGGGGCAAAGTCTACCAGGCAAGGACAGGTGCAGATACGAATTGCCACAGGTGAACATGAAAAGTTGGCATCAATTGAAATTCTAGATTTGGCCAGTGAATTAAGACATGTACATCGGGCCCTCAGGATGAATGGATACTCTGAACGCACCATCCGCCAAGCTGTTTCTCCCACCATACAGAAACAACCACTTGAAACTCCGATCAAAACTATCACGTTGCCATACATAGCAGGCGTGACCAAAAAGATCTCCAAATTTTTAAACAAACATAAGATCCAAGTCCAATTCAGTACAGTACATAAAATCTGTGATCTAATTCCATCTGTGAAGGATGCCATCCCTGACTTGCTATACCCTGGAATCTATAAACTGATTTGCAGCTGTGGTGACTGTTACATTGGGGAAACGAAACGTCATGTCTGATCGTGTCCGCGAGCACAAGTCAGATTTGAAACACGACAAAATTGAGTTTTCCGCCGTTGCCGATCATTGCTACAACGCGGTGGGCTCTCATGATATTGTTTTTTCCGAGACTAAGGTGCTCTGCAAACCCTCTGGCTACCATCAAAGGTTTGTGCACGAAGCCATTCAGATATACAAACACAGACATAATTTCAACGGTGATAATGGGTACAAACTTAGTAATCATAGGAAAGATGTTATTAACCATGTAAAAAAGATTTAACTACACATTTTATGACCATCTTATCTGACAGGCATTATTTTACTTTACCGAGTGTTAACATCCCCAGTGTTTAACAGTACTCTCTTTATTGTCAGCCAACACTGGTATAAACATGGGCATTTTTGTTCTTTTCTATCACGTGCATCAACAGGTGCTTGTGCACAGGCATGTCCACGTACACTTGTACCCCGTGCTCTCTTTTAGCACCCCCCCTTCCAATACGTCATCATGTGCAACAACAGTGACTTGCGCACTAACACGTCCACGTCGTCGATGCCTACGAGCACCTCGTGCCCTCTTTTAGCCCCCCCCCCTCCCGATACGTTCCATTCATTGGCTACCACATTCTGATAAGCTCCCCCTCTCTCCCCCCCCCCCTTAACTTGTATTTAAGAGCTTGCATCTTGAATCCCTGCCTCACTTGATGCAGCAAATCTGGCTGTGATGGTCCCACCTGATGACGGAGACTTGTGTTGCCTCCGAAACGTCGTGATTTTTATTGTATTTTTATTAATTTTAATTTCATTTTTTACCTACGTGACTTTACCGAAAGAACTAAGAGTATCAATTGAAATGTTAGCCCTCTATTGTTTGTTATATTTTTCTATTATTAATTAATCATCAGCCATGATCAATCCACTGTTGGATGAGGTTTCCCCAGTCCGTCGCCATCTCTCATGGTTATGTTATACAGTTGATTATATACTGGATATGAATGTTAATATTTGTGTGATTGCAAGCCACTGGGTATCTGATGAAAAATAAATCAACAAACGAATAGAAAAATGTCTGATTGTTTTTATTAATGGCGCGAGGTATAAAACACAGGATATTCCTCCCATTGATTTTCCAGGCGAAAAACCCCCGAACAAAAATAACGTATATCCAGCAAATTTCGCTTGACCCACTCATCCAGAAGACAGGGCTGTTGTGAGTCGTCAACCTTTGCTCAATGGGAGCTCCCTCTTTCTCCTCTGCTGCCCACACTTTATGGAACTCCCTTCTCCCCAGACATCAGTGCTATCCCCTGCCCCTGGTCAAGTCCAAGCTCAAGACCTTTTCCTTCTCTGGCCATATAATGAATGTCTGCCTCTACAAAGTGAATATGCCTTGGTCGTTTTGTACGGCGTCTTGATGTGCGCTGGCGATGTGTGCACGTATGTTGAACTTCATTCGCACCGTACGTAGCCAACCGTGCTAATCGGGAGAGGCTGTGTGAACCCACACAATATTTTGATTACGTTATCCTTGCTTGGAAATCAAACTCTGCAGGGTGCTTCTTGGCCAACGGGGAATTGTGAAAAGCACTGCGTCACTGCTGCCAACCTTTCACCCGCACAGCAAGAAACACACCACATTCGTCACTTCTCGCACGCAGTGCGAGTTGAGGGGGTGGAAGAGAGGGGGTGTAGGGGGTGGTGGGTAGGGGGTAGAGGGGAGGGGGTAGAGGCTAGAGGAGAGGGGGTGGAGGGGAGGTGGTAGAGGGGAGGGGTGGAGGAGAAGGAGTGGAGGGGAGGGGGTGGAGAGGTGGAGGGGAGGTGGTGGAGGGAAGGGGTGGAGGGGAGGGGTGGAGGAGAGGGGGTGGAGGGGAAGGGGTGGAGGGGAGGGGGTGGAGGAGAGGGAGGGGTGGAGGGGAAGGGGTGGAGGGAAGGAGTGGAGGGGAGGTGGTGGAGGGGAAGGGGTGGACGGGAGAGGGTGGTGGGAGAGGGTAGAGTTCAAGTTCATTTATTAGGTATAGCCCTGTGAGCCATTCGGCTCCGCAACAAACAAAAAACTAAAACATGAACAAGAAAACATCTTAAAGTGAGGGGGGTGGACGGGAGGGGGTGGAGGGGAAGGGCTGGAGGTGGTGGAGGGGAGGTGGTGGAGGGGAGGGGTGGAGGGGAGGGGCTGGAGGTGGTGGAGGGGAAGGGGTGGAGGTGGTGGAGTGGAGGGGTGGAGGGGAAGGGGTGGACGGGAGGGGATGGAGGGGAAGGGGTGGAGGGGAAGGGGTGGAGGTGGCGGAAGGGTGGAGGTGGTGGAGGGGAGGTGGTGGAGGGGAAGGGGTGGAGGGGAAGGGGTGGAGGTGGCGGAAGGGTGGAGGGGAGGTGGTGGAGGGGAAGGGGTGGAGGGGAAGGGGTGGAGGTGGCGGAAGGGTGGAGGGGAGGTGGTGGAGGGGAAGGGGTGGAGGGGAAGGGGTGGAGGTGGCGGAAGGGTGGAGGTGGTGGAGGGGAGGTGGTGGAGGGGAAGGGGTGAAGGAGAGGGAATGGGGGGGAGGGGATGGAGAAGGGGAGGGGCTGGGTGTCCCGCGTGCCCCCCCCCACCTCTCGCTGACGTCACCGCGACCACGTGACCGCAGGCTATATATTAGCGCGCGATTGCGCGACACCGGTGTGAGACGCTTCCGCTGGGCTGTCAGGTGAGCGAGGTCACGTGCTCGAGGTCACGTGCTCGAGGTCACGTGCGCGAGGTCACGTGCTCCCCCCCCCCCCTTCTCTCGCCCCGCCCCTCCGCGCTTCAGATCCGTGTACAGTCGTATGTTGTGAGTACAGTAGGGCTGTGTGTGTGGTGAACTTCTTTGGCGCCGTACGTAGCCAATGTGGACGTGCCGTAGAGCGCATGCACAGTGCATATTGACAGCGTTGGCCGGCGACTGACAGGCGAACGCGGACGGTGACGGAGACGATTGCGTCTTTTTCTCTCGCATTAGCAGGAATATTTCTGTTGTTGTTGTTGATGATTTCCTCACGAATTGAATGGGGAGGTGGAGGGAGGAGGAGGAGGAGGAGAGGCCGTGTACACCCACCTCTCTGTGGGCAGCTGGGTCCGGCTCTGTGGGACAGGGCCCCGGGGCGACCCCGGGCCGTGAGACGGGCGATCGCAAATTCTTCATCTCGGAGGAATCTGAATGTTTATTTTGTATCCTGCAGGAGGAATCTGAATCTTTATTTTGTATCCTGCAGGAGGAATCTGAATCTTTATTTTGTATCCTGCAGGAGGAATCTGAATCTTTATTTTGTATCCTGCAGGAGGAATCTGAATGTTTATTTTGAATCCTGCAGGAGGAATCCGATGAGCTGTGAAGCTCTTTCTCCCCCCCTCCCCCCACGTGTGTCCAGTACGGGGCGTGGTGTGAACGTTACAGCAACAAACAGTTACACAAATACGATAGCAGTGCAAAGTAAAGTAAAGGTAAACAAATCACCTATTTGGATTATTTTTTTCTGCTATAAATGTACACACGATGAGCTATCATGTGTGGGCAGCTCGCTTTTGAGACAAATAAGATAATAGCTCATTGGGCTTTACCTGGTAAGATACAAAAAAATTGAGTAGTTTCATTTGTGTTTTTTTGTGTGATTTGTTTACTTTTCCTCTGCTTACGTTTTAACGTTCTGAACCCGCCCAGACTGAATATCTCTTAAAAAGAACTTCAGAGCTCATCGGATTCCTCCAGTGTAATGACACAAATAATGTGATTCTAACTTACAAAAGACCCGCAAGCTTCGTTTATCGTCCGTGAGAGCATCTCAGCCGCACTAATCGGATACCAGAAGGGTGATAGTTACAATGTTTTAAACAGTTTTTTTAAATATATATAGTTAGATGTCAACGCAGCAGATGTGACCCGAGCGTGTTCATGTGCGGTGCCCGCCAGAGGCTTTTGAAATCGCTGTTCGATAAGGAAAAGGCTGATAGTTGTGGTATTCTCAATGGGGGGAATGTTCTGCTGTGTAATTTATTTTGGGTTGTCCTATTTACAGTGCTCTGTAATAGGGGAGAAGGAGACTAATCCGAAAATAACCGACGATTTAGGTTGTGGTTGTAACTACAGTCTGAGTATGCTGTCATTTGTTTGACAAACATTTGGAGTTTGAATTCGGAATGTTTGTTTGGGCCTGGTCCAATCACTATTCTTAACACGAAGTATGTGTACAACCCTGATTGCTATTTATAAATATATCCAGAGTGCCAACCCTGACTCTGACACCGTCCAAAATACTCCCACTAATCATGATGTCCCTACTTCGAATGCCGTACAACTAACTCGATCGCTACTTTTTGGTTAGCGCAACTAGCACAGCATTCTTCCCATCAGCTTTAGCATCAACCCCTGTCCATTGTATTGATCCTTCCCTAACATTACTCTGCTCCTGTCACTAACAAGAACCCAGCCCTTTAACGGACTCCAAATTAGTGGTTGGTGTCTGAATACCAAATTACGAACTATCATTTCAAAATACATTTCGATTTAAAGCTTTCGTGACTGCAGGGATTCATCTTCTTGGTTCTTTCGGTGAAGTCGCGTAGAAGGGAAATAATAAAATAATAAAAATTAAACATAATAAAATAAGGACGGCTGCTTGCGTTGTGGCCGAAACGTCGTGAGAATTTTATTTTATTATGTTTTAATTTTTATTATTTCCCTTCTACGTGACTTTACCGAAAACCAAGAAGGTTCAAAATACATGGCAGTAGTCTCAGTCTATACCTACATGCCATATGTTTAAGTCACTTATTCAATTCATTTGTCACACGTCAGTTGCTTTCCATGTCATTTACGGTGTGGGCCATGTTCACTAAATCAAGTATGGATCATAGATTGGTTTTATTTGTCTTAAGCTAAAGTATATATGATGACATTGGCAGCAAATCTTAGGAAAATTTAAGAAAATAAGTTTTGAACATTCGTACCTTTACTCGACATTGCCAGACGTATGCTTCTTAAACTTAAAGCAAGTCCTTGCAGCCAAACACCTAGCAGGTACATAAACTACATAGTCTCTTGGTTACTAATATTTGTTGTTTAATAAAACCTGCCGTTCACATCTAAGCACTGTGAATCCAGAACTGGTCATGTGCGCACAACCGATTTAATAATAAAATGTTAGTCACCAAGGTCAAGGTTCATGGAATGCTACCTTTGGCACAGTGGTCATAAATGAACTGCACATAACAACCTGTTGCATTTTTTTTGCTGGAAGCACGTCAATAAGTTCTCCATGGATATTATGTTTCGGTAGTTTATTGATTTATCGAGAGAGGTAGTGATTCCGTTTCTGGACTGTTAGAAGAATTCAGCGATTTTAGTTTTAATCTCCGGCCACGGCTATCATCGGTGCCAAGTTGTATCTGAACTGGTCCTTGAATCTACCCCTTCACCAACCTACATTGGCTAGTGTGTTGAAGTTTCGTTTAACTATCTTGCTACACAAGTACTGATAATTGTTTTTTTACCCTTTTATCTGGCAATAAAACTGACACCTTTTTTTACAAGGAGTCATGTTTGCATTGACCACAATACCTACGGTCGGAATGCAAACAAAAAACACAACTCTGATAATGTATGCACTGTCCTTGAAATTTTAAAAAAATGTGTCAGTTTTGTTGCCAGATAAAAGGGTAAAAAAACAATTATCATATTTTGCTACTGGCAAAGGAGGTTCCAATGGTACACAAGTACTGTTTGGCAAAATTCAAAATTTGTGACTTCCTAGCATGCGGCAGCTAAAAGAATGATGCAAGTTCCTAATGCTCTTTGGCTCTATCCACGCAGCACTGTAAATAGGTGCACCACAATCCATCCGCAGGTCCGCGAGTGGCGTGCTAAAGCGTGTGTACTCCCACCTATTCAAAGACGTTTGGCCAGTGTAGAAGAGTAGGCCAAATAACCTCTATAGCAGTAGTTCTTAACCTTTACTACAGCCTTGCACCCCTTTGGTTCTCGGGGCATCTCAGGTGAGGAACCACTGCTCTAGAGGATCGCTCGAGATTATTGTGGAGGCCCTCTTGCCAACAAGTAGTGTGCGCAAACAATTTCGGGGCGAGCACCTTTACAATGTGTTGTATTGTAAATGTGCTTTTTTATACTTCTCTACACACAAAGTCATTAACTAAAGCACATCACTTCATGTATCTTTGTCTATAAATTGTAAGATGTTGAAAATGTTTGTGTTGATGGTGCTTTTCTTATTGAGTACAAGGCTGAATGAGGAATTGTGCTTGTGCAGTCTATCTCCAGAGCCATCTATACGGGCTGCAAAATGGCTGATGCCGTTGTCATGGGAGTGCCGTTCGACTTGGCTGAAGGCCAGCGAGGAAGCTCGCACATCACCTACAATGTGAGTGATTTTATCGTGTGCGTTTTCGGATTTCAGCTTGAGCAGTGCACACTTTTTTTTATACATTGTTTACACTATGCTGAAACCCCGAATCAATTGTAATGTTTCCCCACATTACAACCTGATTATGATTGTCAGGTGGCAGAGGGTATTGCTGAAAGTTGCCATTTTACCTACACGCTCTAATCCAAAAGTAATTATGAATCATTATAGTAATATTGGTCGTGAAAACCTATGTATAAAGTTAAGAAGGAGAGCATTCAGAAATTATCCTTTTTGACGACCGCAAATGTGGAGTGTGTGACAGTTTTAACCTATGTCATGGCTTCACGTTGCTTTCGCATTTTTATTCTTGAGCTGGGCATTTCTAAGCACTCCTGACACTTTTTAAGGATGATCATGAATAGAACCTATCGTAAATAAAACTCCTCTTCATATCGTGTGCAGGAGAGCGTCGTGTCGCGCGTGGCGAATCTGCCCCTGGTGAGCTCTGCGTACGACATGATGGCGGCTGCCTACAGCAGCACCAAGGAGAACCACCCGTACATGAAGTCGGTGTGCGAGGTGGCCGAGCAGGGCGTGCGCACGGTCGCTGGTGTCGCCGCCACCACTGTCAAGCCCCTGGTGGACAAGTTGAATCCCCAGAGTGAGTGGCCACGCGGCACTGCATCTCCCACGATGGTCCGATGGGCCACTCACCACTTGCAGACCCCCACGATTTTTCGATGGTCGAGCTATGATGAGTAAATTCAGAGCAAAGTAACACACCTTAAAATATTTTATTTATCCAGAAAATCCTCGTGGAATCTGGACACATTTTCAGGAAGGTTCTGCTTTTCAGGAATGCTTCAAACGATTTTTAAATGAAAGGAAAATGACAAAAGAGCCACACAGAGGATGGTCAGTTATACTATACAATTAATAAAATATAGCTCAAGTACGTACTTTTTATCCCGGATCGGTGCTAACTTGTGTAAGGGGGAGGATCAGTAGTGAGGCAAGACTTTCTGTGTTAACGGTCTTGTTTTGGTCTCAAATATCTACGTAAAATCACTTAAAAAGGTTCATTTTTAGCAGAAAGTCCTTTAAGAAGTTATCTCTGCTTAAATTAACATTCGGACAAAGTTCTTCTTTATTGACAGCCTTGACGGATGTAGAAATTCCAAATTTCTCTGGTGGGGGCTGAGACCATTGTAGGACGGGCCCGTTGACTTATCGCAAAGCGCATTTTTCCCTATAAACATGGTTTAAAAAAAAATATTGTCTTGTACTACTTACTTCCTCTCTGGTTCAGTAGCCGCACACGACCCGGAGATGGGCACCTCACCCGAGTTCAGTAACATGTTGACAGGCCACAAGTCACCCTTGGTAGCTGGTCACCTGCAGGCTGGTGGACGCACATTAGCATCGGTCTGGCTGAACGACAATGTCACTGAAAACGTGGTCTCTCTCGCTTCCAGCCACCACATGAGGCAGCCCAATATTTCTTTGTGTGGCACCATGTGTTTGCAATTCAGCTGAATAATGAAATGTTTCCTGTTGTGGTTCGTGTTGCTTGTGTGTGTTACAATACCAGAAGTGGGAAAACCAGTTCAGTGGTTGAATGGATGGCATAAAATACAATTTGTGACCATGCATAAAACAAGTCATAGGCTATGTGGTTGCCCATACAAGCACTGTCCGGGCTTAATCTCTGTGGTAGCTCCTGAGATCAGATGAGAACGGGTGCTTGTGTAAGAATGGAGCAATTGTAAAAAGTTTATGGGAGGGGAAAACTGAACAAAACCTCGTGATATTCTGTACTTGTTGTGCTTGGTAAGGGTGAACTTTGTCACACTTACTGTAATATGTGCGTTGGTATTTTAAAGCTTAGGGAAGTTGTGGTTGAGAGTACCGATGTAAAATGGTGAAGTGACTCACAGTTGCACTGTTGCAGTGTTGAACTAACCTTTGCTCCACTTGATAGTGTAATCATGTATCAGCATCTTTTCATATTGTGTTTGAGGAATATATAACTAAACGGTTCACTACTGGATAATGGCCTCGCCATGCCTGTGTGGATCGTGAGGGGTTATGACCGTACTTGACCACGCTGATTATTGCAGGTTTGTGAAGGTGGGGAGCATATTCCAGTTTGTGAAAGCACAAGTACAGTACAATAATGGATTGTACTGCACAATCCACCACGTAGCCCTGCAATTAATCTTGTTTTCATTGTTTTTTATGGATTTTCTTTGCCTTTTTACAGACGTGAGATATTTTGAATAGTGTTATGCTTGTCCAAATAGTGGTGTCATGTTACTTACATGCCTCGGTTTGCTGAGGAAGGCTCTGCCTGGTCACCAATGGCTGCACACAAAGTTGTAGTAAAGTTTTTCACCTGAGATGGCCTCTCAATGTTAAGAGGGTTAAGATTCTAGTTCAGTGACACCATTCTTTATGGTACATTATGCGGCAGGGGTGGAGTTGTGGCACAGTAGTTGGTGCACTGCACAATGAATCTGGCCTCCCCAGTCTGATTTTTGGCAATGGCCAATGTTTGTGGTGCACGATATCTGAATCGTTCCTGGGCCCCCCCACTACTATGCCAACCTGGGGTGGGGAAGTATGGCCAAATATTCCATGACCCGACACTGCATAGGGTGGCTGCCATCCAGCAGTGGATTGACAAAGGGCTGTTTAAGTTTATGAAGGATTACTGTCAAGCACCAAGTGAGATGGGCGCCATAGTGGCGAGATGTTAACTACCTCGCTTGGTATACAGGAGGTCGTGGGTTCGATCTCGACCCTGACGCCTGTATTTAGAATTGCATATTCTTCTCGTCGTCGCGTGGATTTTTCTCCGGGTCCTCCGGTTTTTCCCTCCACATTTAAAAACATGCATTTCGAGTATTTGGCTACTGCTATAAGTTTCCACGTGACAAGCCACTACTACGTAGAGCTATCATTTGTGGCCAAGTCGCTTCTGAAAAAGAGCTATATAGCTCAGTGAGCCTTACATGGTAAAATAAAAAATACTTTTAAAAGATGGTCCTATTGAAGATACTCATAAGTACAATATATTTTTGTATATGAGCTTTACAGATCTAAGTGTTTTTTTAATCTCCATGACGTGACTCCAACGGCCGTAAAAAAGTGGATATGTACTTGTGTGTCTTTACAGTTTTCACTGCCAACCAATACGCTTGCAAAGGGCTCGACAAACTGGAATATAAGCTGCCCATTCTGCAGCACTCCTCTGAAAAGGTGCAGTAAAACCTCACGATAAAGGTGGAAAACAAGCCAATACGTCCATTACCAATTAGTCTTACAAATGTGATGTGGAAATCCGCGTAGAAGGTGTACTGCTGGATAAATGGGATAGAGCCAGTAGTATGTAATCGTTTAAAAACAGTGGACCTTAAGTCCCAATTTTGTGCTTACCAACTCATACATAAAGGGCTTGGTGGCATTTATTTGATTGTAGCTTCAGGATAAAAGTTGGGTGTTAACCTCCCATCACACCTAAAACCTGGTTGCTACTATGATGCAAACTTGGCAGTTCGTAAATGATGAAGCGTTACACACTTTATACAAACTGCAATGAGATCAGAGTATGGGAGGAGTATTGCCCTTGAGCCAGTTATTTGCATAATGCTCAAGTGCAATTTTTGGCTTTAACATGAAAAAACCTTGTACAAGTTAACAATTTCCCCCATCCATAATAGATATTGGTCGCGAAAGCCTACGTGTTAAATTTTACACATGTTGAAATGAGCAGTGGGCAGTGTTCATCTCCATTGGACAACTGTTGCTTTCCCACAAGGCAGAAGTCATTTATTAAGATCAGAAAAGACTAGATACGAGTTGATCCCTGCCCAAGATTCGAACGCGTAACCTTTTCTTTTGAGATGTCTGTGCCAACTAACCAAATGCCCACCGGCCTTGTGCAGCTGGCAGCCAACGCCAAGGACATTGTCGCATCAACTGTCGGGGCCACCGTGGGCACGGTGACCGGCAGCATCACGGGTGCATTGGACAGGACCAAGGGCGCGGTGAACAACAGCGTGGAGATGACCAGGGGCGTCGTGTCAGGAGGGATGGACATAACCAAGGGGGTGGTTTTTGGAAGTGTGGAGATGACCAGGGGCATCGTGTCAGGAGGGGTGGACATAACCAAGGGGGTGGTTTTGGGAGGGGTAGAGATGACCAAGGGTGTGGTCAACAGCAGCGTGGATCTGACCAAGGGAGTGGTGTCAGGCGGGGTGGAGATGACCAAGAGCGTGGTGTCGGGCGGGGTGAGCACGGTGATGAACAGCCGCGTGGGGCAGCTGGTGACAGCCGGAGTGGATACGGCACTCGGCAAGACGGAGGACTACGTCGACTACTACCTGCCGTCTGCTGATGCCCCCAACCACGCCGGTGAGATAGCAGTGACTGCTGGCTCTGACCAAATAAATGTGGTATGTTGTTCACTAACGTGTTGTGATGATTGGCATTGTAGCTAGAGCTCTCAACTCCGTTCTAAGTTTGGAGATGACTTTCAAAATCATTCTCCTGGTAGTGTTAAAATGAGTAACGCTTTTACATGCGTTTAAACGACCTACTGGTGTCTAGAAGGTCCGTGGAGGCTCGGTGATGGACCATCCAGGTTGGACGGCCACTGCCGCCTGGTCAGCCCTCTAGGAGGGCAGGGAGTATTTCCAGGCTAATGAGGCCCATGACCACATGCTGCCACGTGTGGCAGGTTGAGTGCACCAGTTTGGCAGCTAGTAAAGGAAGAGGAAAATAGCGGTTGGGGAGAGCTCTGGTGATTGTGCAAGAAGTCATCCAAAACAAAACACCTGGTTTTGTCAATCCAATCTCTGGCAGGCAGTGAAAACAATTGTTGTAGCAAGTCAGCAGTGGTCGTCATATACGAAGACTGGTGTCTACCATGTGAATATAGAATTCTCAACAGAGCTCAGACAGTGACGATGTTTCATCTTTGGGTTGTTAAAATTTCCCCCCCCCCCTTTTAATGGCCAGCAGGTGGCGGTGTGCCCATATTCACCGAGTGTGTACTTCACTGCTCCCTTCTGTGTGCAGGAGAGGCAGGGGATGCAGCGCCAGAGAGACGGCTCATGGCCGGGCAGGACCTCCAGAGCTGCTACGTACGATTTAACTCCCTCTCCGCCAAGGTGCGGCAGCGCCTGTACGTGCAGTCTGTCGATCGACTGCGCAACGCCAAGATGCGCAGCCAGAACACCATTGCGCAGCTCCAACACACGGTCAACCTGGTACGTGGATTTTTGTGATTTATTTTGACACCCCAGTATAATGCGCAGAATGCCCAATTACTGAATGCGTGTGTTTTAAAAACAGTGGTCAAATTTTCAATCTATTTTCCCAGCCCTATCTATTCTTGCGATTATGTCATAAAACGGCGAGAGATGGCAATGGCTTGGGGGGGGTGGGGAGGCCTTTGTCCAGCAGTAGACCGCATATTATCAAACAAAGCCTAAAGTGACAAATTTATTTCAAATACCATTGTCTGGCTTTTATAGAATCTAAAAAGGCATTTGGTTCAGGGAAAACTAATGCAGTAATTGATGCAGTCTTCATAAATCAAGGCCTGAAATAAATTATATACAAACCTATCAAAATATCAAAACCAATATGATAGAGCAAGGCAACAAAATACAAACCATTAAAATGTTTCAGACAAGGAGATGCGCTATCACCATGACTAGTCACAGCAACACCATTAAAATGAAAAGGAGATGCGCTATCACCATGACTAGTTACAGCAACACCATTAACGTGGAGATATTTTATGAAAATTGGTACAGTAATAAGTGACCACAATGACTCGTCTCTACAGACAGGGGGGAGGGCATTGCAGACTAATTTTGTTTACCCAATCTGCTGGATGGGGCAATTGAGCCTTGGTCACGTAGACTTGGTTGCGTAGTGAATCTTGTGTTTACGTCAAAGTAATTACAGGCGCTGTTTACGAAATGTGGCATGGCCTATTGCACAGTTGGACAATGTCCAGTGAGCTTCCCCCCTCCTGTTTTTGCACAACCACTTGAGCTGATGTGGTTTTTTTGTCGTACCTGCCCGTAGATTGAGTACGCCAAGACACACCTGGACACTGCCAATCAACTGGTTCAAGACAAGCTGCAGAGCTCTTGGCAGCAATGGAAAGGGACCAGCCCGGGTGAAGGCGAGGGAGAGGGTGCGGAGAACGAATCTAAGGTTAACACCAGCACTTGTACAAAAAGATGAATTTAAAAAGGAACATTTGTATTAATGTCAAATTTGTGTTGTGCGGTGGAAATTACCTTTCTTCTAAGTGGGGGCTGTATGTATATATGAACGTCTTTTGCACCATACGTAGCCAATTGTGCTAATCGGAGGTGCGGGGGAAGGACAACAAACTAAATGCAAAAAGCAGTTCTAAAGAAATGAGTTTTCACTTTAGATTTAAAAGTGCATAGCTCCAGTGGCTTCCTAAAATCGGAAGGAAGAGCGTTCCAGACAGCCACGGGAGCGTATCTGAAAGTGCGTGATGCAGTGACCGTCTGTGTTCGATGGTTGGTAGTTCATAGTCATCAAATCTTTGTGTAATGTAGGAATTTGGGCGGGAGACGACTTGACGGGTAGCACACTTTTATTAACACCAACTCACTAACACGTGTGATCAACTGCAGCCTATGCTACGCGGTTCTTCCGGCTACACACACACGGGCTCTTCCGCCCCGTAGCTTCTAGGGAACCCACCCCAACTGGGGTCTGGGTCTCGACCACTGGGTCCCACAGCCTCGCCCTTACAAGGACGTCAGGCCACGGGTCCCACGGTCTCCCCTCTGAGCCGCACAGGGTCCCGGCCCTTACAAGGACAGCGGGACTAGGGGTCTCAGGGCCCTATCTCTTCCAACTCCGTCTTCGATCTTCACTGGTTAACAACTCCCCGAGCGCTCCCGCGCATCCCCCTTTATAGTCCTCCGCTCCCGGGGAGACGGAGCCCATGCGGACCTCGATGAAAGCACCCACCCCCGTTGACCAATCACCACGCGCTGCCACACGATCCTTTTTCCCATCTTGTGTCAGCGCACGCAACCACTCGCCACGCGCCGCCACATGATCCATCACTGTCAGCGCACGTCACCACTATACCACGCGATGTAGCCACACCCGACGCGCTCACACACGCTCCCCCCTTGTCAGCGCATACCGCCACTACATCACCCCCCACCACATAGCTCGCAGCCGGCCCAGCTGCTAAGAAAAAAACTCCCTCCCCGTGTGTGCCCCATAACACCAACAATAACCACCACAACACAACAACATAACACAAGACAACAAGAACTCCGTGAATCCCGTAAGAATCAGAACACGCCACCGTAACAACAAGAATAATATGTACAAACCGCTGAGTGACAAAAATAAACTATATACAAGAATGACCCGCGCAGCGTCCCTCCATTTCCAACCGCCCCTTGAACGGGACATTAGACCGGACCGAAGGGGAACGCCGCGACGAGATGCAACCCCGGGACTCCTTCTCCAACCCCTTCAGGAAAAGTGTCGCGTTTTAGCACGAGTCCGCCTGGCCGGTCCGTCGTACGGCACCAGACGCGGGTGACCGTCAGGTGGCGCCGGCAGTCCAGGAAAGCACGGGGCAGGCATCGGAGATCCGCGCGTGCCTCGGGGTTCCGGTTTCCGACGGTCAGCAGCCGTCAGGTCCGAGACACCTGGGAGTGGATCAGGTGGAGACACGTGAGGATCAGGCGGCGACATGTCCCTCCCCGAGTCGACGGCCACATCACACGCTCGGTCGTCACGACACAAAGGGAGGCCATGTGGCGCCGCGAAAGGTTTCAGACGGGAGGGGTGAACGTACCAGCGGCGTTTTCCCCATTTAATCTGAACACACTGGGGTCGCGCAATACGCACGACTTCCACAGGTCCCCTCCATGGCCTCAGAAATTTTGGGGACGTAGCCAACGGTGCATGTGGGCCGTGCAGCCAGGTCTTATCGCCTGGTTTCCAATTGTGCGTATACACCTTCCGTGTCTGCAATTTTTCGTTAGCGATCTGGCGAGATCTCGAATTCAACCTCGCAGCCTCCCGCGCTTCAGCCAGTTTGGCGATATTAAATTTGATGTGGTCGGCCAATTTTGATTTTGCACGCGGCTCGGAAATCCCCAGTTGGGCATCCATGGGTGGATCGGCCTCTCGACCATACATGAGAAAAAATGGGGAAAAGCCCGTCGCCGCATGGGGGGCCATTCTATACGCCGCGAGGACCCCAGGTACCTGTAAGTCCCAGTCAACCTGATCGTCGCGCACCTGTTGACACAACATAGAAGTAATCGTCCTGTGGAGACGTTCAACCGTTCCATCAGTCTGTGGGTGGTATGGGGAGGTACACACTTTTTTCGTACCCAACAGGTCGCACACCTCGCGCAACAAAACGCTTGAAAAAATTTTTCCATGGTCAGTTAGCAAGTGTTCGGGGGTGCCTTTGTCCAAAACATAGCCCTGGACAAAGGCGTCCGCCACTGCCGCAGCCGATTGGTTGGCGAGTGGCCATGCCATGGGCCATCAGGTGAAGTATTCCACGCCAACTAGCAGGTACTTGTTACCCCTAGGTGTAACAGGAAAGGGCCCCAAGATGTCGAGCGCGACCAGTTCGTTCGTGCGCGAAACCTGGATGGACTGTAGTGGTGGATTAGCCGCTACTGGCGGCGGTTTTCTTTGAGCGCACCCCACACACCCCTTAAGGATGTTTGCCACGTCGCTCCCCATACCCGGCCAATAATAGTCCCACTGGAGTAGGGCGAGCGTTTTATGAAATTCCAAATGCAGGAGTCGTTCGTGAGCAGCTAGAACGACCCTACCCCGCATAGCAGATGGCACAACGAGCGCATGACACCGGGACATATTGTCCCACTTCATCAGGAGGCCCTGTCTGACCACCCAGGAGCCAACCCCTGTCTCCCCCCCCTCGGGACCCTCTGCCTTTCGACGCAACGTGATTAGTTAGCTGTCAGCCATCTGGAGACGGCCCCACTCAATAAGAGGCAACGCGAGTAACGAGTCCCCGCACGCGGGAGCGGCAGGTACATCGACCCGTGGAGCGTCAGTGGCGGCGAGCAGAGCCTCCGCGGGGACGGCGACAGGGGGTTTACACCGCGCCGATCCCAGAAGACATGCGCATTCCGAGCGAGGCGACAATCGCGACAAGGCATCCGCATTCCAGTGCCGCAATCCCTTACGGTAAATGGTCGTGAATTGGTAGTCTTGGAGGACCTCCAACCATCGGGACAACTGACCGGAGGGTTGGGCAACCCGCATTGCGTACTGGAGCGCCGCGTGGTCCGTTCGAACAGTAAAATGACGGCCGTAGAGATACGGCCTGAATTGCTGGATAAAAAAAACGATCGCTAGCAATTCACGACGTGTCACACAGTAGCGCTGTTCCGCTGGTGACAAAACTCTGCTACCATAGGCGACCACTCATTCGACACCCCCGACCACCTGCGAGAGCACTCCCCTGATACCCGTGTTACTGGCATCCGTGTCAAGCAGGAACGGTTGCGTGAAATCAGGGTAACACAAGGGAGGAGCCCGCACTAAGGCATCCCGAAGGGAGCAGAACGCAGCCTCCTCCTCCGGCCCCCAGTGAAACTTTACCCCTTTAGCCGTCAAAGCATGTAGGGGCCTGGCTATGGTGGCAAAATTTTCAACAAAACGGCGGTAGTAGGAGGCGAACCCTATGAAGCTGCGGACCTCGGTGACTGAGGTTGGCGTTGGCCACGAGCTGACGCAGTGCGTCTTAGCAGGGTCTGTAGAGATCCCTGAACGGCCAACGATATGCCCCAAGTACCTCACCGATTCCCGAAGCAGGTGGCATTTCCCTGGTTTAAATTTTAACTTAGCGGAACGCATCCTGAGGAACATCCCCCTTAATCGTTGGAGGTGCTCCTCAAAGGTCCGACTGAAAACAATGATGTCATCGAGGTAAATCAAGCAGGTGTCCCATTGGAGACCTGACAAAACCAATTCCATGAGTCTCTGGAACGTGGCGGGAGCGGAATGGAGCCCCATGGGCAAACGATTAAATTGAAATAGGCCTCCCGGTGTCCGGAAAGCGGTCTTTGGTTTCGATTCTTCAACGAGGGGCAATTGCCAAAATCCCGAAAGCAGGTCAAGCGTCGAAAAAAAACGCGCCCCTGCCAAGGCATCTAGAGACTCATCCATTCTGGGGAGTGGATACGCGTCGGCCATCGAGATTTTATTGAGGCGGCGGAAGTCTACACAAAAACGCAAAGACCCGTCCTGTTTTTTAACAAGGACGATGGGCGCACCCCATGGATTGGAAGAGGTCAAAATGATGTCGGCAGCCAGCATGTCATTAACAGCCGACTGCACATGCTCCTTCTCGGCTGGGCTCAGCCGGAGGGGATTCTGCCGAATTGGGGCCGCATCACCCATCGCTATGTGGTGGCACAACAGGTCCGTGCAGCCAATATCGTATTTGTGTCTGCTAAACACATCAGAAAATTCGAGTAGCAGGCCCCTCAACGCTCCCAACTGCGCACTAGACAGGTTACTGGAACCCGCACACAACGAGTCCAACCATTGTGTGTCCTCCCCCGATGGAGGATGCGGATCCAGGGTAGAATCGACATGTGCAGCGAGCTGCTCATCTACGGGCAACGGCGCCGCGTGTGCAAGCACGGTGCCCTGTGTAATAACAGCTGGCCGCGACCCCGCGTTCAGAACCATATCGAATGGATCTCTGTCCGCCCGCACCATGGTCTGAGCTACTGCCAAGTCGAGGCCCCCAACAGCTTTGTTTGACGGCCCCAAAAGGACACCCTGTCCCGCCGCATCCACCCCGAAGGGTTTCCGTAACCGAAGGGGTACCAGCATCTGCGATCCCGGGGGCACGCGCACCGTCTGAGTTGCCAGCGCCTGGACTGTTGCACAAACCGTGCGTAGTTTGGTAGGACTTGGCAAAAATGCAATACGCCGACCCGATGGAAGCTCAATACAGGCCTGATCGACGAGAATTTTAATGGGCATTTTAGCCAAAAAGTCCGTACCCAGTAAACACGGAACTGCCAGGGACGATGAAACCAAAATAGGACCCGCCAATTTAATATCTCCGATACAAATGGTCGCCCGGATCTGGCCGACAATCCCCAAAGAGCCCCCGTTTGCCGCATAACATGGTACGTCCACCGGGAGTAGGGGTCGACATTGGACGGGGAGGATGTTATAAATAAGGTCCGAAATGATAGTGGCCGACGCACCCGTGTCCACCAGTACCCGGACCTCAACCCCGTCAATAAATCCCGTTACCACGGATGACCTGGCCGAAGCAGCCACTATTCTGTGGGCCAACTCGGACCATTTGACTGCTCCCAGGCCGTGTATGAACCCCCCTCGCCGAACCGAATCACCGGCCCCCATGCGCGTTCCCCCCGCCGCGAAGCGGCGACCCAAGTGTGCCGTGTATGTGGACCGAGCATGTGTGGTGCCGCGACTTGCCGGGGGTAGCTGGGACGACTTGGGCCCTTGGTCGTCGTCCGGACGTGGTCCCGAGGCGCGCTGACGCGGAGCCCGGCACCCGGACGTGACGTGACCCCGAAGGCCGCAGTTGTAGCACATGACGAGAGACGTCGCAGGTTTCGGTTGCTCCAGCTTGCGGGATGATCGCAGGGGCGAACGACCTCCCGATCTCCACTCCCCCGGTCTTGCCACGGTGAAGGCCTCCTCCCGAGATGGAACAGTCTGAGGCTCGGCGACCATCGGGGCAGGTGTCGCAACTCCCGCCGATGCACAGACGACCGTCCGCTTCCACTTCAGGACCTCGTGTGCATGGATACTCGTAGCAACCCCCAAAGAGCAAATGTCCATCTCGTCCGCCGTATTGATGGGGACCCCCAGGTCCTGGGCCAACGCCAGCAGCTGCTCCGTCACCATTGCGTCCTTCCCCTCCTCGTCCATGCGGGGAAAGGCGGCGTCCGCAAGGGCGAGCAGCGCCGTGCGGTAGGCGAGCGTAGTTTCCGTGTCCCCTTTACGCCGCTCGTAGAACTGGTGGCGACAGGTCGAGGGCGGTCCAAACACTTTGGCCATGAGGTGTAGCGTGGCCTTTAGCGTGGAGCGGGACGATCTTGGGGCGGACCTGAAGGCCGCGAGTGCGTCGTCGTCCAGCGTCGCCGGCAGCGCACCTAAGGCCGTGGCGTCGGACCACCCCGACATTTCTTGATGTGCGAGAAACCTTCGCTGGAAGGCTCCCCAGTCGCCCCCCTCAGCCTTGAACGCTGTCAGCGCGGGAAGTCTTTGTTGGAAGACTTGGTCATCCTCCGAGTGTTGATTTTCCCGCGCGCCGCTATGGTTGAGAAGAATGGCGGCTCCCTCGGCAGGTGTTTCGTGGGGACTTTTGGCGCGCGTTGATGACGCGGGCTGTGATGAGTGGAGGTCCCCGACCACGTGGTGCCCCCGATTCCCGCCAATCGATGGCGGATCAACAAAGTTGGCGCCAATTTCCAAATTTCGTAGCGCGAAGCGCATTCTGGCGGGATTCTTCGGCCCGTGCTCCTTCCTCCAGCCTTGTCGTCGTCCTCGCGCCTCCAGAAGCGGTGATTTCCGCCAAAATAGAAGCGGCGGCGAGCAGCAACTCCGCCAGGCGGGATTGTGCATCCTGGAGGCCGGTGTCGGACCCCAGCGGAGCGTCGGGCATCGCCGCGAGGTGCTGTGGCGTCGGCATCTCCTCCTCCTCCCCTCCCGAGGCTTGCAGTCCCGGTACGTCGTGGTCGTCTTCCCGATCTCGCTCGTGGGTACGGGTAGTCTTCCTAGTATCCATTCTTTGAAGACAGGTTCACTTCTGACACCAGTTGTAATGTAGGAATTTGGGCGGGAGACGACTTGACGGGTAGCACACTTTTATTAACACCAACTCATTAACACGTGTGATCAACTGCAGCCTATGCTACGCGGCTCCCCCGGCTACACACACACGGGCTCTTCCGCCCCGTAGCTTCTAGGGAACCCACCCCAACTGGGGTCTGGGTCGCGACCACTGGGTCCCACAGCCTCGCCCTTACAAGGACGTCAGGCCACGGGTCCCACGGTCTCCCCTCTGAGCCGCACAGGGTCCCGGCCCTTACAAGGACAGCGGGACTAGGGGTCTCAGGGCCCTATCTCTTCCAACTCCGTCTTCGATCTTCACTGGTTAACAACTCCCCGAGCGCTCCCGCGCATCCCCCTTTATAGTCCTCCGCTCCCGGGGAGATGGAGCCCATGCGGACCTCGATGAGAGCACCCACCCCCGTTGACCAATCGCCACGCGCTGCCACACGATCCTTTCTCCCCATCTTGTGTCAGCGCACACAACCACTCGCCACGCGCTGCCACATGATCCATAACTGTCAGCGCGCGTCACCACTATACCACGCGATGTAGCCACACCCGACGCGCTCACACACGCTCCCCCCTTGTCAGCGCTTACCGCCACTACATCTGCAAGACAATGTCCGACTGCATGAAGTGTATGCTGGAGGGAATGCGCCAAATAGGTTGCTGTCTTGTCTGTAATGCATTTGATTGTTATTGCCTATTGTACGTGGACTTTATCAGGACCGCCTGGTTTCGTCTTTTAGTGCGGAAATGTACCTAAGAATATTGTGCCGAATATCTCTCGCAGTATCCTGATAATGGGTGGGGCTTAATGAGGCTGTCCTGGGTGAAATAAAAAAAACTCTTGTCAGTCTATCTAGCTGGGTTAAGCTGCAGGTTTGAGTGCTCGTCTAAAATTGGAAGGTTGTAAAATCAAAGCTTAGTTTGTAATTTGTTCAGCCCATCATTTCTTTGAGTACCAATTGGTGGGATGTATAGTGGTCAGCCTATGGATAAACTAGTTCTTCCATGCGAATGTGTAGTTTCCACCAGTATCTTATGGCCACCATTGTAGATAAGCACCAGCCAAGCCAGTGAGCCCCTTTTGAGAAGCGAGACATTGACTTTGTGCGAGTGCCCTTCCACTTGACTCTTACATTTACACTGGTGATCTCCTTGCCGTTGGAGCGCAGTCTGTTGAGTCCAGGACGCTGGCGATGGCTCGCGCCCTGAGCCAGCAGGTGCACACGTCGTGCGTGTCTCTGGCCTCCAACGTCCGCGGCCTTCCACAGAATGTGCAGGACCAGGCGCAGCGCGTCCGCCAAAACGCAGAGGCCCTCGTTGCTGCCTTCCGCAATACCACCTCTTTCAAGGTATGAAATTAGATCCCCTTATTTTGTGGCCTTTTCAGTGTTTTTTTTATTTTTCAGATTGTTGATTTTGGTTCCTGATTGCAACGTGTGTGAAATACATTGTCTCTTTGTGGATACGTATCGTGTTTTCCTGAGAATACAAAAATCCATAAGCCCCTAAATTGACTAGCTAACTCAACAGCGTGGTGAAGTATGGGTCAAACAATTCCTATGAACAACACGACATTGGGAGGCCTTAATCTAGGAAGTGTTGGAAAAAAGGCAGTAAATTATAAATAAATAAATATTTTAATCCCTGAAAAACACATTAATGTCCATTGTTGAAATATGGTCATTGGTAAATAAATTGGAAAATAATGCTGAAAGTGAATGCGTCGTGTTTCCGTGTTGAAATGAACATTGAGTGGTGATTGGCTCTGGTGGCTCGGAGCCAGTCGGAAAGGTACCAGACTCCGCATGTGACAACCCCTCACGACTTCCAACGAAGTGGTGCTCAGTGTATTGACCTTGGAGGGGTTAAGACCGGGGTCAATCCCAGACGTTATTTCAAATTGCAGCCACCCGATTGTACTACACGAACCCTAACCACGCTGTCACTGCCTGGAGTCGATCTACAACATGGTTTTATGGGCAATTTGCAAAGACTAAAAACAAGTTTTCTATCGCCTTGCTTTTGCAGGACATCCCGGCGCATCTGTTAACCCGCAGCAAGGAGCAAATATCGCAGCTCAGCATCTCCATGGAGGATGTTGTGGACTACTTGCTTAATAACACGCCCTTCAACTGGATGGTAGGTTTCATCATCACCCACCAGCTGGAAGAGGGCACCCCGCAAATCGGGGAAGGTGAGGCTCCAGCCGAAATGGACACACAGGCCCCCCGGAGCCAACAGAGCACACGCAGTGTGAGCACTAACGTGTGGCAGCTCTGAACAGGCCAGTGGTGCTTGTGGTGTTCTTTATAAACTAAACTAAACTCTTTTAATTTTACCGGGTAAGGCTCATTGAGCTATATAGCCATTTTTTTCAGAAGTGATCTGGCCACATATGATCGATCGAAGTGGTTCATCATGTGGAAATTTAAAGCAGCCAAATACTCTAAAACCAGGGCTGAGGAACCTCTTTCTTACTGAGGGCGACTTGAAAAAACAGTGCAATGCATCAACATCTTACACCGAAGAGTATTCTCCAAAAGAGAACAACACAATATAATACAAACTCGGTATAACTGTGTTTATGCCTTACAATACGCCATTTTAAGAGGGTTGGGGGAACCCTTTTCTTCATGAGCCGAATAAGACTTGAAATAGCCACGCCTCCTGTCACTTTTTTCACTGCAAAAGGCCCTTGCAGTTACAAGTGACATCGTACTAAATTTATACTTGGGTAAAAAATATTGCCGATTTTCTGTCCATTTACGATGATTTTAGTGATGGACAAATATAGTTTCCGAGCCATTTAAAAGTGACAGGTTCCTTCTGGGTGTTGGCTATATGAAATTCAGTGTTGGGCCATATTCTGCTCGTGGGCCATAGGTTTCACACCCATGCCATATCCCGGCCTGTTGTTTTTTTGGAAACTAACTTTATAGACCATGACCTGTATCAGAGTGCTTGCATGAAAACAACTAAAATCGAGATTGCTCTCTTGTCTCGCTAATTTATTCTAAATGAGTATTTGCATTACCTTAATGAAGGTTCTTTTTTTGGATGTCTAATCATGGATTTATTAAGGGAAAGCCGCAGTTACAAACTAAACTGCTTCCTTTACAGTTCGGGACTGACATGGGTGTTTGCTTTAATGAACATGGTGTGATGAAGTGCATAGAATGGAAATGCTAACTTTCTCATGCCTGCCAATGCGAATAATTGGTAATCGTGGGCTATGCATTCCCCTCCCATTTATCTCTGCGATGGAATGGTGCATAAACAGCCATTGACTGTCGACCTCTTAAAGCCACGCTCCAAAATTGTGACGGCATTTTGCTATTTGGGAATAACCTGCACTCCTATTGCGATGTTTACATTTTGAGGCTAAAAGATGGAAGTGGTAATTCTCTGCGAGCTTGCAACATCTAAAACAATATAATTTTAACGATTTAGAGTGAAAAGTCTGCTGTAACGTTGGCAGTTGTATTATTGATCTATCCAAACAATTAATGCAAAGCTTGCCATAACATCCATGTGATGTGCTTTGTGCTGCACGAATAATAAGGATAGTGGTATACTTTTTAGTTGGCAGAGATGAGTATTTTTCTTTCTGCTTTGCACATTTTTATCTAATTTGTTAAACCTATCCTCTGCCTGCCTCTTTTAAACTGATGTGAACCACTAAAGCAACAAAACTATTCTGACTGCCATATGAATTGAGCTTAGCTGCAATATTTTTTTTATATATAGGTCTTAATTACAGGATAACACGTAGCTGGCAACTGGCATTGTAATGAAATAAGAGGTAATATCCATATCGTTTTATCTTCAATGTGAATTTTCAGAGCCCCATCGACTGAAAATATATTTTGTTTATTACATTTCTTGCAATACATACAAGTTGAAAGTAATTTCTAGTAAAACAGAAAAATTGCATTCCAGCCAATCTTGATTGGATGTCGAGGACATTAATAATTGTAGCTAAGGATAATATTAGCATTACAAAGTAATTTTAAGCGTTTGCCTTGAGTGAGCCTGCTACCGCACATACAAATATTTAGCAGGAACATTGTTTTTGCATGCATATATTTAAGGAGTGAGGTTTCTAAGATAATGAAAAACAAGAACTTTAGTCATCAATGTCGTGCTAGGCTTTCAAGTACTTTTGTAATTTTCCAACACTGACAATGAGTTGCAGATCCTTGAAAAACGGGTTCATTGATGAGCAGCCTGTTTGGAAAAGACCATTTTAAACAAGGAACGCTTCATCGAGTCTTACAGATTTAGGGGAGGGCCCTGCATTTATATGGTTGGCCAATTCCATGAATGAGTTTTCATTGCACAGGTCTGAAATGTATTTAAAACTGACAAGTCAGAATTGTTTACCCACATATTTGCTGCTTGATTTTCACGTGTTGCTTACACCTGACAACACGCAACATATGCTGTAAGTTCACAAGATTTGCGTATTTTGCAATGTTCTATCCGGTATTTTTATTAAATGTTAACTGTCAAATAAGCTGGTTGGTATGTGATGGAAATTTAATGACAACGTTGCACACTTGGTTACCAGTGACTTAATGCATGGGGAGGGTGTACCAATGCTTATATTCCTAAATTAAAATATATTCTTAAACTCATTCTAATGCATCAAGCCTTATGTGTAAGAATTTATATTTTCTCAGTAGATGTAAGTAATGGATTTGTATCAGCCCTGCAGCCACTTGAGTTGCTGATTTTCCCTCAATAGTGGCGGTCTGTCGAATTGGTGGGGTGGAGTGAATTGTTCCGCCTGTATGAAACGCCAGTGGGGGTGGATATGTTTGTTACAAAATGTGTATACTTTTGGACACTTACTCATTGCTCTGTGTTCATATTAGATGCGTGTAAAAAAGTAGCAGTGAAGGTATTATGGCCCCGTGCATCTGCTGTATTACGGCAAACCCGACAGCTGCTTCTCCCACCTGCTCTCGTTCTTTAGACGGTGAATTTGGATATCAGTGACCTGCAGTCGGAAAATGGAGATGAGGATGAAGAAGAAGTTGTTATGGGAAATGGATCGGCTGTATTCGTCCACTGAACAAAATAAATCTTGCAATCTTTGTTTGTCATTTTAATTGCCACTTGTGATATTTAGGTTTCTTACTTGCATGATTTAAAAATGGATCGCACAATACTATTCGTGGTTAATGTTGTGACATGCTTCAGTGTATGCAAATAGTTGCATAAAGTTGAAGTTTTGGCCTTTATTAGAACGATCTAATTTAGGGTTAACATCAAGATCGTATAGAATGTCTAAATTTAATTCAAAGTGGCAAGTCAGATTTGAAAAACAGATTATGCCAACATTATTTTACATCCTTGTTGCCTTACTGACTACAATTTAACTTTAATTTATTTCAAATAGTACTTTTAATTTGCCAGTTTTTTTTTCTTTTTGCAAACTATGCTCACTTAACCTGTAATCTTGAGTTTTCGGAAACCGGGTTTTTCGTTTGTTGTTTCCTAATGAATATAATTTGTTGGCACTGCCAATGTTAAATACTAAAGCTGACCAGTGACTAGCTTTTTGTTTCGAGGGTGAATGCATGCCGTCTGTTCATTGCATTTTCAAGTTACGTGGGTATCTTGTGGCTTTACAGCCTTTGGTACAAGACTTAAAAGTGGTGTTTATTAAATTGGTTTAAGGGTTGTCACGCAACATTGTGCAGTGGTGTCTGTGTCTGGTGTTGCACAATTCAAGTGCCCCAACATATAACGTCTGCAAAGGCAGACCTGTGCCATACATTGAAAAGTACTACTGAACTCTGGTTTATGGCTGTTTGTATTTTATAACTTGTTAACACTGGAAGAGATCTCTTCATGTGCTGGATTGATACAACTGGAATGATTTCGTATAAGTGCCTTATTATATAAAACATTGTCCTTTGCATCCTGGTGGTGTGTTCTTAATAGCCTGTCAGGCTATTTGATGTATTTGTTTACGTGGGGTATGAAACATTCAGCCTTAAGCAGCCTTCCAAAAATTATGACCTTAACACATCAGCCCATCTTACATTGCTCCTCTCATGCTCATGTATGCCAGTGGTACAGTGGGGGTCGGCATGGTCCATGATGCAAAGGAATTAAAGGGACCTAATTTCCACCTCCCTCCCCCGCCACTATTCATAGCATAGCCCGTTGTGCCAGGGTGGGCCATCACCCATGCACTGCCTGCACACGACCTTTTTTGTTGGTGCCTATTCAGTGACCACTTTCCAAGGAAGATTAACGCTTTGTACAACCGTGTAAATGGGTTGGTGTAATGCGTTCTTAAAGTTGATGTGCGTTCCTCTCGTTTGCTTTCAAGCTGATGCCCCGATTTTGTTCAAAAGTGCAGGTTTATTCCTTGTCTATATTCAGATGTAGCAAGTTAAAACTGCTCATTTAATCGTAAAAAGATGAGAAAATATTGTTTTTATTATATATTGTTTCCATAAAAATTACACAGTATACTGAAGCTTTATAATCATTTACATTATTACACAAGACATGTCATAACGTCAAAGCGTAGCATCACAATAAAACGATTGCATTAAATCACCTATAGCACCGAGGTCACTGTTCAAACGCATAAAATCCAAAGGCAGATAACAAATACGGGACAAAGATCCATCCAGAGTCCAAAAGCTAAAATCGCTGCAGAGAATTTTACAAAAGCTTAAAGTGTGCAAAGAAAAAGCACGGAGAGGTGCATGCTTGGAATTGCGTTGAGACAGGAAGAGGAACGCGTGTATTGTAAAACCCACGCAAGATAAAAACATGGACTTTATATAAGGGGGCTTTGACAGGACGCGACTATAAGGGACGATGGCCGTTGGCCGAGACTTGAAGATGGAGTGACGGCCAAATGAGTGAACATGTTCTAGAGGATGTTGACTGCGTGGAATGTTGACATTGGCTTGTGTGAAGGAGCTCTGGATTGTAGGACAGAAATGTGACGGCTTGTGAAGACCACCCACCAATAGATATATTGTGGATGATAATTACTGTGAAATGTCAGAGTTATATCAACGTCAAGGTCTCCTGCTCAAATGAGATGTAAGTTGTCATCTCCATTCGTAGCCCTCAGTCCAATTTGAAATTGTAACGGTTGAGGAGCCGATCTCCATATGACGACTACGGTTGACTTTACCCGAGAGCGGTGCTCGCTTTATAGACCCTGGATGGATGAGCCAACATTCCCATTGTGAACCGAGTCCAATACACCTACACTGCAGAGGTTATTTTATGCGTTGGCATTTTTACACCATAGAGGTAAACTTACTTCCATAGGTATGGATGAATAATTGCAAAATGTAAAAAACCCTGCATGTTATGAGAGTTTGGCTTGCAAAAGTGATGTGAGCTCTTTACTGTTTAAAGTTTAGTAAAGGGTTGTAGGAAATTGATCATTACTATTGACCTTATACTTACTATTAATCACAATCTGTGCCTCGTCTGTTGATTAAAATGCATTCGACTCGATGGATATTGATGCAGTCATCCAAACGAGTATACTTTGTTATGCATTATGATACAGAATTAACAAAAAGCAGTGAATTTAGTTTGTGATTGTCACCTTTGTATCACAATATACGAAGTTCAGATTGTGGTCAATCTGGTCCAATTAGTGTATCACATATCCAGTGTCATTAGTACATCCTGTGGAATAGCCGTCCCTAGACGTGTGAATGTACAATTTCCACACTGTCTCTGAGTCGCCAATGGAGGAGATGAGTGCTTTGTTTGAGCAGGGAGACATCTGGCAGCTGTAATCACCGTGTATCTGATCCTCACGCTCACAATGAGTGAATGCGCTTTCTGCCAAACACCACAGCCGACACGCTGCGCACAATTCCTCGGAAGCCGCCCTTCCTGCCATGCAGTGCGGGATGCACAAAGGCAACTCCATCGTTCATAGCACCAGCACCACCAGTGGCACCGCCACTTACACTAGAGCCACGAGCACCGGCATCAACACCAGCAATGCCAGTGGCCGGCAACGGCAGCAGCAGCGGCAGGAGGGCATCCCGTGCCAGCGCACCCAGCGCGCGGTGAACTCCGCCCCCCACGCCGGCGTCGCAATCGTCTGCGGCGGACACCTCGACGAAAGAGGCATCCAACGCGAGCGCCAGCGCGCGCCCTTCCCCGCTCGCCACCGTGCGCAGGTGCTCCAGGTCCAGCTTGTTCCCCACGAGCAGCAGCGGCGGGGCCGGGGTCGGGGTCGGGGTCACCCCCGGCTGCGGCAGGGACCCGGCCCGCCGCCGCCGCTGCTGTTCCCGTGACCGCCAGCAGCAGCCGCCGTCGCCGCCGCCGTCGCTGCCACGGGACCCCGGTGGTGGCAGCCGGCGTCGAGCCGCATGGCGCAGGAGGGAGCGGTGGGAGTACAGCATCGCGAATGTGTCTCGCTCGCAGATGCTGTAGACGAGCAGGAGGGCGTCCGCCCAGCCCAGAAGCCGCTCCAAGTCCTGCGACGGGGGACGTCCTCGCTTTTATTCGTTGAATCTCAAACTCGGCGTGAGCGGAATTGAAATTATCTTGACGCCACGTTTGCACGAAGAGCTTCCGTTATACAGTTGTTGTCACGATCACCATCAATATTGGTTGGCAATGATATGCGAAAGGTGTTCGAGGTTGTGTTGCACGGCTCTCTGATGTGTTTTGGGGTTCTACCGCATGTTGCAGCCACCCCAGCTCGTGGAGTGAAACGTTGGCAACGTTGGCAACGCACGGCATGAGCACAGGAGGGAACCATGTTGTCCATGAACTGCTCCATTATAAAGTTATATATACGGCAATCCATCAAAATGCATCCAGATTGAGATATAGTATAGGCATATGCACCGACAAGTCAGCGATTTGAAGCTATGTAACGAGCGACTGCAGGTGAAGGCAAGCTGTCAACACCTGGTGTCCCAGTGTCCCAAACCCACGGTCCGTGTTTGAGAAATCACCTGGCGCTGCTTTGCCAGGTGCTTGACCTCAATTCATTGGAGTGAGTGACCCACACGTAACAAGACATTGTGACCCATTTAAAATAAACGTTATATCTAATAAACGTTATATTACAGCCGTCTTGAGATACAGTTGCATTTATATGCTATTCAAAAAAACACTATCAATCTGATTATGTGGATCTCTTTAAAATCCACGTATTCCAAATGCACCACAGTATTGGCATCACGACATGAGATGTACAATTCGTGTGCATCTCTCACAGGGCCATGCATCACTCGTGTGTTTAGAGGGCATCCAATGGAAGAAAGGTGGTGTAACAGAAATATGCATTCTGCGCAAGGCTCGGCCTCTAAAACGTTACAAATGCAAATCCGAAAGAGACACGAGGGCTTACCTGGTCATGAAGGGAGGGGGAGTCCCAGATGTTTACACAAACCTCTTGGCCGTCGATAATAATGCTGTGGCTGTAGATGGACTCTAGAAAGACAAAGATTCCCCGTATAGCCTTTAAGCAGACGTCTGGGGTAAGTGCTGTTCGCGGGGTGGCTAGCACCACGCCCGACCGCCTTTGTCTCCCCAGTGGCGATGCTTACACACCACGACAGATATTCATTGGAGGCTGAGTCGACCTAGGGGAGGCTCAGTACCGGTTCATATAATGGTTACTGGTGTTAGCCGTGAGCGGGAATCGAACTCAGGTAGTTGGGTTCATAGTGCAGTGGGCTTACCGCTCTTCTGTCACTCCCCAAATTGACTCAACACCACCACCACCTTACTCTTTGGTTCTTTCGGTAAAGTCACGTAGGTATAAAATCATCATCAGGTGGGAAAACCACAGCAAGAAAAAAAAATTGCTGTGGTTTTCCCACCTAATGATTGCTTGTGTTGCAATCGAAACGTCGTGATTTATTTTATTTTATACCTACGTGACTTTACCGAAATAACCAAAGAGTATGGATTCCTGCAGTTACGAAAGCTTCAAATCTAGATTACCACCACCACCACCACCATGCAGAGACAACCTCGTTACTGTCGTAACGTTCGAGGAGCCGTCTATAATTTTACGAGAAGCCTGTTGCAATATAGACAAAGTCAGTTGAACACGTAGGCTTTCGCGACCAATATCATTCATCACAATAGAGGTGTTTTGGGTTAGATCGCGTAAATATATAAATGTGTCGTTAAAACCCGCACCCGACACAGCCAACTAGTAAGGGTTGTCACGTAATCCCCCCCCCCCCCCCGCCACATTGTGCAAGAGCGCAGAAGGGTGGTCAACACATCTACGCCTCTATATAAGGAACGAAACAGGGGGACTTCTCCACAAATCTGGCTGTCGCCTGATGAAGCTGGTTGTAATTACTGGCGAAACGTCGTACTCAGTTTGTAAATGTTGTGGCTTGGCTCTCCAACACACCAGTGTGATGTACTAGTATACTCCACTATACACTACACTATACACTACACCGGTGTGCTGAACTAGTGACGAATTGGCCACGTTCTGTTTACGTGACAACCCTTACTAGTTGGCTGTGTCGGGTGGTGGCAGGTTTTAACGACACATTTATATATTTACGCAATCGAACCCAAAAACCTTTTATGGATAGACAAAGTCATTATGAAAACCGATGCCGTTAATGAATAACAAAAAATATCTACTGACTGGCTAAAAATGTCAATACTGTGGAAATCAAATGGCTTTCTTGTAACATTTAAAAGTTCCTAAATCGTACGCATATTCTTATCTTTTTCATGTACTCTCTATGACGATAATTAAGAAAAAATAAAAATCGTTGCGTTTCACAATACCATACGAAAGAAGAAGACTCCCCCAATTATATTCAAATTGTCCTATTAACGTCATGTCGCGACACTAGAAAGTTTCTTCAGGAATGTTATTATCAGTGAACATTGCACCACACTGCGCCATAGTTCTTCCGCGAAAGATAAAGTCACGCAATCACTTCTGAAATAGGTTACATATGCCTGTTTTATCCGCACAAGGGAGCATATGTCTGAAAAGTGTTTATCACGTGTCAATGACAAGTATTGTACACTGATATTATTTTGTTTTAAATCTAAAAGCTGGAATGTATCCAAATGAAGCGAATAAACAAAAAAGCGTCATATTTGTCTGTGTAGTCATTATTGAACAGTCCACCTGTTGACTACACTTGAGATCTCAGCAGTGCCAGAATCAGCATCTACAACACAAGTTCATGCCCCTGAACCACATGGATTTTTTTTTTTTACAAAATGCTCGACGAACCAGCCGCCTTAAGATGCATTTACTCTCTAAAAACTATTTCGAATAGTGTGCGATCGCAAATGCACTCACTCACCTTTATCACCATATTCTCCAATGAATCTTCCAGTCAAAAATCGAACGGTCAATGCTAGAAAGTATACAACGAAACATTAGCTTCGAATAAATGATATACCATCCGATAAAATGTCAATAACATTTCAAAAAGTTACATTAGGTAGGTGATGGTGACAAATACAGGTGAAAATGTATGAAAATTAAATTCCCCTTTGCATCCCAAAATCCATTTAACAAACATTAAATTTGAAGAGTTTATTTTTATTTTGCTCAAGCCTTTTCATGAGCATCCTACTTGGGTTATTTGATAAATTCAATGTATGTTCCGAATATTTTAACATGTGTGAGTAAATTGGAAAAATCAAAGCACATGAGGATCCAACCGTCAAAGGATTTCTCAGATAGGCTAGCATACTTTTAGCTCTACTATACTCGTTGGTAGAAAAATAAAATAAAACCAAAAATAATATATCACGACGTTGGGAACTGCTGGATTATTTTTTCCGCCTGAGGACGACCGCTTGTGTTGCGATCGAAACGTCGTGATTTTTTTTTCTACCTACGTGACTTTATCGAAAGAACCAAGGAGTATGGATTCCTGCAGTCACGAAAGCTTCAAATCAAGATGTAGCTCTACTGTTTTCTACATGCATCCATGCACACCATTTCCTGCATGCCATGCCGATGGCTGTCTCACAAAGTGGCTTCACAAGCCTGACTCTTCCGTTGAAGCCCACAAAGTCTTATTAATCGGCCCAGAATTTGCTTTCTTGAATCAATGTTGCTTGATTACATTGGTCTGGCTGATGGACTAAAAATGTATTTATTTATACTGCTTACACAGCATATGCTTTGCTGATTGCTAAACACCGAAAAGCTGGACATTTATGGTTTCGATATTGGCTTTGGAAAAGACAAACCCGTGCTAAAGGCGCAACACTTACCAGATTTACCGACGTTGTCAGCTCCAAGCACAGCGATGTTAACCTCCAGCCTGCTCCTGCCCAGTGATGACAGCATCGCTGATGGTAACCGTAGGTAAGCCATGAACTGTTAAAGTACCCACATCAAAAACCACACGCACGCTCGAGCTCAGTGTCTGGGCTGTATTTATTTTTGCATTAAAGCTTTGAATAACGCAACTGCCCATTTAATATATACAGAGGGAATGAGTCATCAAAAACAAGTCCAATGGGGACGGGGCAAGTTTGTTTACAGAAATTAAACCCGTGCGTAATTATCATGAATCAGTTGAAATACAGTCATCATCATTGCTCATACACCATTTTTTTCTCTCCATGCTTGTGTTTTAGCACAATCCAAGAAAGAATGTTCGACAGTTCATAAAAGTGGGCTTAGGCAGGACACGTGACGAGGAGGTGTGATTGCTGGTGGTCAAGGCTAATGACAGAGTCACAGTCAAAGGAGAGAACAACTTCGAGAGAGTGTCCATTGCAGAGATGGACCAATGAAATCAGCTCATGTACAGGCGAAAACTAATTTCTTTAAAACTGCTTTTTTGTGTTTAGTTTGTTGTCCTTTCCCCGCACATTCGCTTAGCACGGTTGGCTGCTACATCGCAGGACCGTGAGCGATGACGATGGCTTGGAGATGCCTTCATCCAGCAGTGGGTCGATCATGGCTGATAATGGTGGCGGTGAAGTGATGTTAATAATGTTGACGATGGTGCGCAGTTGAAGTATGTATGTTGAACTTCTTTCGCACCATACGTAGCCAACCGTGCTAATCGGAAGTGCCGGGGGAAAGGACAACAACAGTTTTGTTTGCGACAGAAACTTGGGAGAAAGAAAGCCATGAGAAAGCCATGAGAAGACCTGGAAAAGTCTTGAGATACGAGTTGTGGCATCCAATGGAGACACTCCGCTGAATAGAGAGAAAGAGTAATTAGGACATTCTAGGGACAGTTCAAAAGGACAGCATTTTCATGAAAAAATAATCCTTAAGAAAGCAAAACATGGCGACTGTGCACATTCTCAGAGATGGAAGGAAGTTCTGGAAGGATGTCGGAAAAGAGGCAAAGAAACAACACTTAAAACTGCTGCTTGACGACTTGAAATGGGCCATACAGTGAAATGAAGCAGCATACATTATACTAATAAGAAAGCCCTCGGTTTAGCTGAAGGGCTGCAATTTGCGAGCCAGCTAGATGACTAAAAAATAATATGGGGGGGGGGGGGGGGGAGTGATATTGCCCGATGCTGAATGAAATGTAAAATTGCTTCTAAACAAACTTAACACCGCACCAATGCCGCCACCTTGTGGCTCCCACTGAGGTGAATGCGGCGTTCTGTCACTTCTTTGTCACTTATAAAGATGCGCATTAAACAAAACAAAAAAACTGAACACATTCTTGAATAACACTGTGGCCTTAAAAATATAAATATATCATAGGTAACGTTTCGGTCAATGGCCCGACTTCATAGTTCGCATGAAACTAGGTCATCATCTGCCTTCTCTGGAAGCCATCGAGGTCGATTGTACTTTCCAGCAGAAATGGCAGTAGTTACATAACCCTTCTTCCAGAAGCCATTAGGTTGACATTCCTGAAGAGACTACCACTTCCACAACAGATATAAGCGTTGTCTCCACGTATATACATAAAGCATGTTTGAGTCCCATCAGCCGGTTGCCTTTCCAGTCCAATATAATTATCAAGCACAATTGTTTTTTTAAGCAAGCAAACGCTCGGTCTCATCGGCAGGGCTTGTTATACTAATGCTGCTCGTTTGCCAAATGTTGTTGGCAAGGGCAACTCCGTTGAAATGATGGGGCCCTGTTCAACGCAACAAGCAATACCATACACGGTGATTTTATGCGTTGCCTTGCTAAGCCGGCGATTGGCTGATAACTTTACTTGCAATCGCATTTGACAGACAAGCACATATTTGTCAATGTCACCCTACATGTGTTTCATTTTTTATATTGCGAAATTTATATTTGTGGAATGTTTTTGAGTTCTCATGTGCCACGAGTTGTTATTTGCACTGATTTATCTTGGCTTCATTGCTTGCACTTAATTTTGATTCGCGTTGCGTTTGTGTCGTATTTTTGTTGGTCACTCTTGGAAATGATGATGGTGATAATGATGTTAATTATAAACTCAATTGTCTATAATCCAAATTCGCACAAGGAAACTATATCCTGCTGGTTAAACAAACAAAGGAAATAACACTTCGGCTTTCGCGAAAAATACCATCCATAATAAAAGTTTTTTGGGTTAAATCGCGACACAGCCAACTAGTAAGGGTTGTCAGGTAAACAGAACGTGGCCAATTCGTCACTAGTACAGCACACCGGTGTGTTGGAGAGCCAAGCCACAACATTTACAATCTGAGTACGACGTTCCGCCAGTAATTACAACGAGCTTCATCAGGCGACAGCCAGATTTGTGGAGAAGTCCACCTGTTTCGTTCTTTATATTGAGGTGTAGATGGGAGATTAATGAGTGAACGTACATTGTGCATGCGCAATATGCGAGCTCATTGATATTGTCCTTCCTGTCCAATGTGTGTATGAAAATAGCCGTACAAACGGTAATCCCTATTGAAGTATGGTGGCCTGTATAGGCATGCATTTAAACAATGTATTTTTTTTATTATTCGCTTCCACGCACCACTAAGTCGGTAGCTATCCGAACGGTTAAAATATTTTTTATTTCTTTCAATTTCGATAGATTCTCTCATTAGTATTTGCCAGTAGTAGCTAGTTTTGCACAGAACTTCAACATTATAAAAATCAATTGAGTGTACTTGTTGGCACGCGTGTTCTGCTACTGCTGACAGTTGTATTTAGAAGTATTTAATGTTTACTCTTTGGTTCTTTCGGTAAAGTCACGTAGAAAGAAAATAAATTAAATTATAGAGTACGACGTTTCGATTGCAACACAAGCAACCGTCATCAGGTAGAACTAAATTTGAGAGAGAGACAAAACACAGACACTGAGACACACAGATAGACACACAAGCAGAGAGAGACAACACAGAGACAACACAGAAACACACAGAGAGACACACAGACATACACACAAGCAGAGAGACACACAGAGAGACACACAGAGACACACAGAGACACACAGACATACACACAAGCAGAGAGAAACACACAGACACACAGAGAGACACACAACATAGACACACATAGAGAGACAACACAGAGACACATACAACATACACACAGAGAGAGACAACACAGAGACACACAGAGAGAGAGAGAGACACAACATAGACACGCAGAGACCCAATGCCTCTGTGTCGGGACCTTTAATAGAGTTAGGGGGGGGAGTTGGGCAGAGAGAGACGTGGGTCTGCTGGGGCAGCTGCTGGAGCAGAGAAATTAGCATGCCAATTAATCCACCCGAAGCGAAAGAAGATCGAATGAGAGGTTCAATATTCTTTCCCTCCGTCGCTTCAGGGTGGAAGAATAATTCCCGCAGTCACGAAAGCTTCAAATCAAGTTGTATTTAATGTCTCTTTAATGTTATTTTAGTCTCGTGCTGATCATTCGTCCTGTTTTCCCAACGTAGCATTTGTCACAAGTGCAGTTAATCCTGGACGCATCTTCATGAGGATGGTGACATCGCTGCAGCAGCTGGCTGCAGTCCCGTGTCGCTCCCACTGTGTATCGGCTGTTGCCACACCTCGTACCTGACCCACGTCCTTCTTCACTATCCCCTGCCCTTCTTACTTTCATCTTTCACTCAAATTTTCTAATTATTTATTTTGTTTTATTATTTTCCAAATTATTACTTTGGTAGATCTCTGCCTCCAATCCCGCCTGCCTCCGCGCGTACTGCACGAAAGCTTTAAGTCAAAAATTAAAACTATTAAAAAAATACCGCACATTGCGGGAGTAACTGATACACTAGCCAGATGTTTGGAAAAACGAAAAATCCGAGTTAGATTTGGCACGGTATATAAAATACAGAAATTAATATTTGGTACAAGAGCGCAGAAGTGTGGTCATCACATCTACGCCTCTATACAAGAAGAGCAACAGGTGGACTTCTCCACAAATCTGGCTGTCGCCTGATGAAGCTAATTGTAATTACTGGCGAAACGTCGTACTCAGATTGTAAATGTTCTCCAACACACCGGTGTGCTGTACTAGTATACTCCACTATACACTACACTATACACTACTATACACTACACTATACACTACACTATACACTATTATACACAATACACTACACTACTACACGCTACACTATACACTACACTACACCGTTGTGCTGTACTAGTATACTCCACTATACACTACACTATACACTACTATACACAATACACTACTACACGCTACACTATACACTACACTATACACTACTATACACAATACACTATACACTACACCGGTGTGCTGTACTAGTAACAAATTGGCCACGTTCTGTTTACGTGACAACCCTTACTAGTTGGCTGTGTCGGGTGGTGGCGGGTTAAACAACACATTTATATATTTACGAGATGTAACCCAAAAAACTTCGATCATAGAAAAATATATAACTTGGAGCAACGTAAACCATCTCTTCCAGAAGACGCAGAGATTGTACTTCCCATTCCGGAAGAAACTTCCGGAAGAATCTTCCAGAAGAATCTTCCGTAAGAGTCTTCCGGAAGATTCTTCCGGAAGCATCTTCCGGAAGAGTCTTCCGGAAGACGCTAAAAATCGTGAAAAAAACGCCGATCCCGACCGTGCGAGGCTTCCCCGGTGACTGAATGCGGTGAGGGCTTCGCTCCGTCACTTTTACAAACAACCAACAAGAACAATTAAAAGACACACACACCGCCCTCTCACCATCTCAGTGTATCCAGCAGAGCGGAGAGACGCACGAGTCGCCCCGAGAGGGAGAGGACGCGAGAGGCGAGGCGGTTCACCCCCGGGTGTTCGGCGTGTGGGACTAGCGGAGCCCTTTCTGCAAGGCCTCACCTCGGCGTCTCTCGCGGTTTGAGCAAATAATCGGCACAAGAAGCTCGTCCTGTCGCCACACATCTACGTGTGCGTGAATTAGTATCACATCGACCAGCGTTTGCAAGCGGGACGGGCTAAAACGGAGGTTCGCAGACGCAATGCCCATAGACTAGAAGCGATCGTTAGGTACCCAATGGACTCGAGTGCAGCATTGCATTCCCCATAGACGATGTTGAACTTACTGTTTGGTTCTTTCGGTATCATTGCAGTCGCGGGAACTTCAGATCTATGTTGAACTTCTTTCGTACAGCGCGTTGTCAAATGCGCTAATTGGAGAACAATGC